AACCCTAACCCTAACCCTAACCCTAACCCTAACCCTAACCCTAACCCTAACCCTAACCCTAACCCTAACCCTAACCCTAACCCTAACCCTAATTATAATAATTAAATATAAAAAAAAAGCAAAAAGATATTGATTCAATTAGCTTAGCGAATAGAGGGTGTTGAAATCTAATACATCGAAGAGGCAACTAAGACCCTGTGTCCAATCACAAAACACTATGAATCAAATATCATACGGAGCATTACTACTAGCTAATATTATATTAGACCAATAGGACAACCCTAAACTGTAACCTGATAGTATAGTTCACTACGTCATACTATATACAGAGCAGCCCCACTTATACCACCACATTGATTGGTACTGGCAACCATCAACTGTTTAGGTATCAATATAATGAAATTCCATATTGTTCCATTTGAACAACCAGGCAACCTTATTATAATATATATATATTATATCAGAATTTAAAAGTTCATATTATTCAAATTTTCAACCACTCAAAAAGTCCCCTCAATAGCAGGATTCTGAAATATAGTTTTTTTCAATTTTATTATTAAAATCGATTATATATAATTCAACTACCCCACCACTCTTTCGGCTAATCACCATTCCCCCTATTCCTACATATTCAACCTTTTATAAAATTAGTACAGATCGATCAATTCAAGAGATAATTTAAATCTGTTTTCAGAATTGAATAAATAAATAAAAATAAATCCTAGTTTATTATAAAATAATTATAAATTTCTTATTCTAAATTGGATTTAGGGTGGTGGCCAAATCGATTCATTTTGGTGGTCACCACTACCCCCTGCTTCCACAACCTCATTAAACTTAGAGTTATTTCAATTCGATATAAAACCATCAATTTGAAGAATATCAAGAAACTAATTTTATATGTAAATAATTCAATTGAATCTCTATTTATTTCTTTTTTCAGATTTTCGAAAAGCCCTAAATTGAAGCCAGGAGGAGTGATGACCAATTAGTAAGTTTTGATGCTTTTTCGCAGATCACCACTACCCTGTTTTCGAAAATTACTATAGCTTAGGATTCGATCTCATCAAATTTAGAGTTATTTCAATTCAGTATTAAACTATCAATTAAAGAGATATCGAGAAAGTAATTTTATATATAGAAAATTCGATTGAATCTCTATTCATTTCTTTTTTCAGATTTTCGAAAACCCTAAAATTAAGCCTAGAAAGGGTGGTGACCAATTGGAGAGTTTTTGGGAGGGTCACCACCCCCCTTAGGGTAGTGATCACCACCGGTGCTGACCACCAAAAAAATCCTTAGAATAATAGTTAGGACAACCCTGAACTGTGACCTGATAGTATGGTTCGCTACGTCATACTATATACAGGGCAGCCCCACTTATACCACCACATTGATTGGTACTGGCAACCATCAACTGTTTAGGTATCAATATGAAAATTCCATATTATTCCATTTGAACAATTAGGCAACCTCATTATAATATATATATATCAAATCGAAATTTGAAAGTTTATATTATTCAAATTTAAAACCACTCAAAAAACCCCCTCAAGATCAGGATTCTGAAACATAGTTTTTTTCAATTTTATTATTATTATTCTGATTTTTATTCTTATTTTTATTTTTATTCTTATTATTAGAATTGATTATATAATTCAACTACCCCATACCTCTTTTTGGCTCCCTGCTTCTACAAATTCAACCTTTTATAAAACTAGTACAGATCGATCAATTTAAGAGATAATTTAAATCTGCTTTCAGAAATGAATAAATAAGTAAAAATAAGCTCTAGTTTATTATAAAATAAATATAAATTTCCTATTCTAAATTGGATTTAGGGTGGTGGCCAAATCGATTCCTTTTGGTGGTTACTATTACCCCTGCTTTCGAAGATTATTATAGCTTAGAATTCGATCTCATCAAATTTAGGATTATTTCAATTCAGTACTAAACTATCAATTGAGGAGATATCGAAAAAGTAATTTCATATATAAGAAATTCAATTAAATCTCTATCGATTCCTATTTTCAGATTTTTAAAAAGCCTAAAATTGAAGCCAGAAGGGGTGGTAACCAATTGGAGAGTTTTTGGGAGGGTCACCACCCCCCTTAGGGTAGTAGTCATCACTGGTGCTGACCACCAAAAAAATCCTTAGAATAATAGTTAGCTTTATCCTATTTTGCTAGCTTCTACAACACTTTTATAATAATAATAATAATATCATTGAATTCATCGAAAAAAGATATATCGAATGTATTATTTAACTTTCAATTTTTTTTCCTAACCTTAACTACATATTTGACCTTCATTACTCTCCAAATAGGAATAAGCTGTACGGGTTATATATATTCAAAAAATTATAATAATTAAATATAAAAAAAAAGCAAAAAGATATTGATTCAATTAGCTTAGCGAATAGAGGGTGTTGAAATCTAATACATCGAAGAGGCAATTAAGACCCTTTGTCTAATCATAAAATACTAATATTGAATCAAATATCATACGGAGCATTATTACTAACTAATATTATATTAGACTAATAGAACAACCCTAAACTATGATCTGATAGTATGGTTCGCTACGTTATACTATATACAGGGCAGTCCCACTTATACTACTACATTAATTAGTATTAGCAACCATCAATTGTTTAGATATCAATATAATGAAATTCCATATTGTTCTATTTGAACAATTAGGTAACCTTATTATAATATATATATATCAAATCGAAATTTGAAAGTTTATATTATTCAAATTTTCAACCACTCAAAAAGCTCCCTCAATATCAGGATTCTGAAATATAGTTTTTTTCAATTTTATTATTATTATTCTGATTTTTATTTTTATTTATATTCTTATTTATATTATTAGAATTGATTATATAATTCAATTATTTCATACCTCTTTTCGGCTGGTTATTATTTTCTTTGTTCTTATAAATTCAAGCTTTTATAAAACTAGTACAAATTAATCAATTCAAGAGATAATTTAAATCCGTTTTCAGAATTCGATAAATAAATCAAAATAAACCTTAGTTTATTATAAAATAAATATAAATTTCTTATTCTAAATTGGATTTAGGGTAATGGCTAAATCGATTCATTTTGGTGGTCATCATTATTTCCTGCTTTTGAAGATTATTATAGCTTAGGGTTTGATTTTATCAAACTTAAGGTTATTTCAATTCAATATTAAATTATTAATTAAAAAAATATCGAAAAAGTAATTTTATATATAAGAAATTCAATTGAATCTCTATTGATTCCTTTTTTCAGATTTTCGAAAAGCCTAAAATTGAATCTAGAAAAGGTGGTGATCAATTGGAGAGTTTTTGGGAGGATCACTATTCCCTTTAGGGTAGTGGTCACCATCGGTGCTGATCACCAAAAAAATCCTTAGAATAATAGTTAGGGTATTAGGGCCTTACCCTTTCATAGCTCTTCTACCCTTATAGTACAATATAAGTCTTTACCCGTACCTTGACAGATTCTTTTGGATAATAAGATTATTAAGAAAATAAATCTTTATCTAAAAATATTATATAAATATTCAAATTAATTATATTATTTAAATCGGATTTTAAATTGAGTAAATTAACTTATGTATATATATATAATACTTCGATCCTTAAAAACAATAAAATTATTAAAAAGATAAGTTTCTAATTAATAATGATTATTTTAATAAAATTGAATATATCAATAAAAATTTAATAGTATTCTATTTAAGATCAATTAAATCTTCTTTTGTTTTAATTATTAACTATTATTAAAAAAGAAATTTAATTTTAATTTGATAATTATTTAATCTTTTCTATTTTGTTACAATAATTATAATCGTTCACTTTTATATACTTATTTAATATATGAATTTGTAATTTGTGATTTTTATTTAAAGTAAGTATAATTTATAATACTGATCTCTTAATATTAATAATAATTAACTATATATATAGAACTAGTATTTCTCGATAAGTACTATCTTATAATAGTACTTATTCTTTAATAACTAGAATCATTAGAAAATAATAATCTCTAATATTCTAAAGATCTTAAGTATCGAACCAGCTGTCGATTCTCCTCTTTAGACCTTATGCTTGTAGGATATTATTATCGCTAGGTACTATTTCTAATGATAGTATTAACCTATAATAAGATTTTGAGAGAGCCTACGAGTGGAGGTAGATTCCTATCATCGAGAAATCCTAGCATTGACTTAATAGCCCATTCATCTACATTATGTTTCTGCTCTTAATTTGTACTATCGCAAACAAGCTGGATTTGGAAATTTGAGATAGTACAAAGGGATGAAGGGGCGACACCAACAAGTGATGCATGCATCAAATACGACAATGCCTATGCACTCATGGCCTGGCCATGGACAGAAAACATTTGGGGTGATCCACTTCCTGATCTGCTCTAAATCCGATGTTCGCAAGGCAGTGCTAACCTAACCGGATATGGGCTATGAATACGGAGATACCTAATTTGGAAATGTAATACGTTAACGCAAAAATATCGTCACTTGGCATTCCAGCTACCCTAACAATGCGACTAGAAATAAATTACCAGGTCTAGCTCTACTATTGAGATCACACTAGAAGTACAGGACCCATTAAGATTAAGTCATCGAAGCCCCCCTTAAACAACTAACCTACCATCTCATGTGGAACGTCCGTATTCAAAAAATCCCAGTTCTGCCCTATAACCTAATACAGAATACAATACGCACCCTATACCATTGACTTTTGGGTAGAAAGTCTAATTCCTTCATATACAGGAACACCGAGATGACGCTGTGTACCCAATTTCTACCACTGCCGGCTTACGATACAAGCAAGACAATTCCACGGAGAACCCCTTGCTCCACACATCACGTCAAGTCAAATTTGGTAGAAAAGACTGCAAGATGTCTCCCACAAAGATCCTACTCAGGCCATTGAGCATCACTTCAATTTAAGCTCTACAGTAATACCGCAGCATCGCCAGTCGACTATGCGCACTTCATCGATCTTCAGTATCTCCCTGATTTCCTTTGCTATACAGACAATCGCCGACAGTGGTTGCAAATGTGTAGGTGTTCCTTTGCTTCTTGGATCGAATTGGTTGCTCAAAGGACACACTGAATAGTGGCTTACCCGTTATATTAGCTGCCATCTGAGCCTTGTTGGCCTTCTAAATCGGAGTGGACGGCGCTGAACGAGTCCATCTTTGGCCATCTTATTCAATCATCACCACCAGCTGCGGTTTGCTTTCCTTCCCAACCTAGTTACAACGCAAGCGAATGCAATTTAATTCTCGCCGCTTGGACTTCGTCTGTTTTCCATGCCGATAATCCTGTCAGTATCGACGGGAGTATATGGGCAAACAATAGCTGCAACCCTATTTATCCCAATGGTACCAGTATCAGTGGTAATCCCAATGCAGGGGTCAATGGTTGCTCCATTGGCGCGTACCCTGTTTATGTGATAAACGTTACCGAAGCCAGCCATGTCCAAGCAACCTTCAAGTTCGCCAGCAAACATAATGTGCGTCTGAACATCAAGAATACTGGACACAACGGTGCCGGAAGGTAATATATGGCCTTAAACTCGCCCAATTGTGTATATATGACTGACATGACTTTGAAGAAGTACCGCTTTCGGAAGTTTGTCGTATGTCATCTCCTTCGATAAGCTCAAAACTTCCCTCTTTCTGACTTCTCTACAGGCTATGGACTCACAACTTGAAGGGAATCACCTTGGACGATTCGTTTCGAATTACTGCTGATAATACTACCGGGACAGTTGCTCAGAAAGCGGTCACAATAGGCGCTGGTGTTCAAGACGGTGAGCTTTTCGATAAATTAATAGCACAGAAAGCATTTGCTGTTGGTGGTACCAATGCGGTAAGTCATGTTTGATCATCATGGTTTTTTGATATTTTTATAATCAATAATGCCCCTCCCTCGTGCACCTTTTTTTCTGCTATAGCCTTGTAGGTGGTGCTAACAAGAAAGAAGGATGTTGGTGTTGTCGGATGGGCCACTGGGGGAGGACACGGCGTTATGACTGGAGCTTATGGTCAAGGTGCTGATAATATTATCGAAGCAACATTGGTCACCCCCACAGGCAAAATACTCACAGCAAACGAAAAGCAAAACACAGATATATTTTGGGCAATTCGGGGCGGAGGCGGTGGAACTTTCGGCGTTACTCTCAACATGACCTTAAAGGCATATCCTGATCCAAACCTCACAACCTTGGCTGTGAGCATTACCGGCAAAAACGCTACCTCTACTGAGGCTTGGTGGGATGTCATTGCTGGATACCTTGGCGTGGTACCACAAGCTCAAGACAAAGGAGTACATGGATATTTCACAGTAGGCATGAATCCAAAAACTTTAGCTGACGCATTGCTTGCTTGGAATAAGGACAACGCCACAGTTGAAGCCGCTATTCTACCACTAAAGCAATTCCTGAGTGAAGCTGCTTCACATGGTACTATCGACTACACGCGTGGACCCATGCCCATCACCACCTTCTCCGATCTTCTGAAACTGCTTCCAAGCGTTGAGACCGTTGGCCGTCAATCAACCATCACTGCCTCCAGGCTCATCACTCGCGAGGCTTCTCTGAACCGGAATTTGTTTGCCAAGACTCTCCAAGAGGTAGGGCCTACAGGGTCGACAAAACTGGTACGTAACTAATATGCTCTTCTCATGATTGCTAGTCTCACGAACATTACAACTGACTACCACATGTAGAATGGAAGCGTCCCCGATCGGACAGTGTCCGGTACCCTGACTATAAGCCGTGAGCCCGTCGACAACGCATTGAATCCAATATGGCGCAACACTACTCTTCATCTCAATGTCGCACAACCCTGGGATGACTCCATCGCCGAACCGGATGTGAAGAGCCTGATCGATGATATGACTTACAATAGTCTTGATAAACTTCGTCGATTTGACCCGGCTTCTGGAGCCTATTTAAATGAGGTACGTCAAGGAGACTCTGTGAAGTTAAATACAAAGGAGTGTCTAATCAATGCTAGGCGAACGCGTACGAGCCCGGTTGGCAACTTTCCTTGTTTGGACAAAATTATGGCCGTTTACGTGAAATCAAAAATAAGTACGACCCGACGGGTCTATTGTATTGTCGTCAGTGTGTGGGAAGTGAAGATTGGATTGAAGCGTCAAGCGGTGGCTTGTGTAAAGCATTCGTGCCACTTTAGGTTTCGAGAGTAAGAAGAAGAAATTGGGGTTCCACAAACTGAGAAGTCGACTACCGGTCCGTTGCATCGCAGATCTAGGAATCTCGTCACTAAAATATACTAGCATTGTCAGCGGGGCCGAATAGAAAACTTAAATCTGAAGCTTTCGGGTGGCCTTGTCCGGATTTCCGGACGCAGAGGCCGCCCTGTAGACAATTCCGCTTATTGCATGCAGATATACACCCCTGCGTACGGGACAAACCCAAATTACAAATAATTTAACTTCAGTATCTCGAAATCTATACATACCTCGATGCCTCTTATAATGATTTGTAAACTACTCTCGAATACTTTACCTCTCTCATGAAAATTCATATACTCTTATTAAAAATCAATACTCTCAGAAGAGGAGTAAAGATCTTAAGAAGACGTCTATATATGATTTTCGTTAATAATCAGATTAATATTATAGTAACTTAAACTAATTATTATTCTGATATTATATGAAAAATAAAATAAGATAAATGAGTAAGGGGTAAGAAAAGAGGGAAGAAATTATATTCACTTTCATTTCCCTCAAAAAAATTTAATTTCACTTTCTCTCCTTAAAAACAGAACCTCTCATTTTCAATATTCGATTGTTTATTGAATTATATCTAACTTTTTTTAAATTATAATATTTATTTGAATTAACCGATTAATAGAAAAATTCAAATTAATAGATAAAAATTGATAAGCAATTTAAAAAGACGGTCAATTCGCAATCTTATCTCAGATCTAATTTTCATACTACTTTCAGTCAAAATCAAAGATATATTACTTCATGTTCTATATATTTGTTACTACTTTGTATATATGGTTGGTAATCAACTTGCTCCACATCATATTATCGCCTACATACCAGAAACCCGGGAAGCTCGGAGATCACGGAAAATAAGGAAGTCAAGTCGCGAATAAACATTAAAGAAAGAGAGAAAGGCCGCACTTGGGAAGCAATGGCATACCTATTCACGACGATTATTTGAGTCTCAACTTCACTTTTTCTTTTAAATCAGAAGCAGGTCAACAAATAACTTTGTTGAAAATAAATTTTCATGTGTACAATCCCACGATCAGTCACTTAAAGGTTTCTGAACAACATCATTTCTAATCACAATATTCCCCAAAATTGACATTCATCTAATGCCCTGAAAAGACGAATTCAATTATTTCGAACGGTGAATCTCACGTTCAGCGGATTTTTCTTCCAGATCAGGTAAGCCCTCTGGTTATTATGCCATGTCTCCTGCCCTGCAAGCAATTCATAATCTAAACGGAAGAGGATTCGGGATATGATTAGGCGCATTTCGTTATAGGCTAAATTCTTGCCTAGACAGTCGCGAGGTCCATGACTGAAGGGCTTGACACAGGCCAGGTTGTCCTAAATTACAGATATTGGAGTCAGTATTGCTTTGAGAAATTATGATTGTTTTAATATGTCGCAGATACCCCACTCCTGAGTTGTTGATAGGTAGGAAAAAAGCCCCGATAGCCTTACTTACTTTTGCATAGCGAGCATCGTAGCGCGGATGTGTAGGGAGAAGCCAGCGTTCGGGTCGGAATGAGTTCGGGTCTGTGAAATTATCTGGGTTGCGGAATGTTGCCCAAGGGTATACATGAATGATTGTCTGCGAAAGAGCTTAATAAAAGAGACAGCTAATAGAAGACAAATCTAGAAAAGAATGATAACCTACCCCTGATGGGATGAACTCACCGCCAATGTTCGCGCCAGGCGACACACGCGGTGGCGTCTCGGCTACTGGAGGAAACATTCGCAGAGTCTCCTCTATACACGCATGTAGGTAACCGATCTGGCCACATTTGACCATGTTGATTTCCGACTCTTCAGTGAAGGTGCTGCGGATCTCGTCTTGCAGAATTTTTTTTTGGGCGGTATTCGTACCGGTGATGTAGAAGAAGAAGCTCATGGCAGATGCAGTCGTCTCACTTCCCGCGCCGACCAAAATCATTGAGTTCTGCAAAATATCTTCGTTCGCCATTGCTTGCTCGCCCTCTCGATTTTTCTTCAGCCTGGAACAGGTGTTAACGCCATAATTGGGCAAATACGTTGGGCGATACGTACATGTGAGACATAAAATCGCGTTGGCCTGTCTTTGACTCTTCGCCCATTTCTATACGCTTTTTTGTTAATTCTTGGGTAAATACTGAATTCTCAACGTTTTGATTCATCGCTCTTAGAACCTGCTTTCGACCCATCATCATATTGAAAGGAATATTTAGGTAGGGATATGACGTTAGAAAGCGGTTGTAAGAGTTTCCCAGGATAGCGTCAAAAAAATTGGTGATGTAAGGATGCTCTTCACCGGTCTCAAGTGAGTTGAACGATTTTGCGAAGGTAAGCTCGCCAATGATGTCAAAGAATGTAAAGTTCATCCTACATTACGGGCAAGTCAGAAATTTATTAGTCAGGACTGTTTCAAGATAATGTTTTTGGAGAAAAGTTTGCAATTGTCATGGGACAATTTTTGTACGGACATTGTACGATAGGAAATCAGGGACTAATCTATACGTACCATTTCACAATATCTACAGTCTCTACAAGCTCAGCTTTGCGTGTCAGCTGCTCCAATAACATGTTTACATGCTTTTCGATGATGCCTTCTTGTTCACGGATCGCCGCTTCGCTGAACGAGTGGGCTAGAGATCGCCTCAACCGGCGGCTATCGTACAGTAAGTATGAAACACAGCTCTGTTGAAGTTTCCATCGAGCTTGAAGAACGACTACATTGCTCTTTGACTTGAAGATTACTGTTAGATTCAGAGGTGAAAGCCACTTACTGTAATTCGTTGGGAGCTCCGAGTATTGAATTATAGTCACCTTCGAAAAGGTAGTTACGGACCTTGTCGAAAGTCCCAGCCAGACCTTTGGCTTTGAGGCTAAACACCTCAGGATAGCCGATACTACCATCGACGGCAATGCGGTTGGGTCCAACACGGACTAGTGGTCCAAATTGCTTATGCAGCCGAGATACCTCGCGGGGAAAAGTTCCATCGATATTGCTGCGCCATCTAACAGATCGATTAGCATTCGTTCTTTTGAATATTTTCAAGTGTATAATGGATAATACTGGTTAATGATGTCGGTAGTTGCGAGGAGTGGCGGCCCAGGAATTTTAGAAAGAGGATGAAACCATATACGATAAATTGCAAGCGCAATGGAATAGAAGAAAATCTATTACGGGGTTAGCGGGTCTCGCGGAAGTCTGCTGATGATTTCGGATCACTAACAGCGGCTGGAACACAAATGATCAAAGATAATGCATTCAGCTCAATGAGTTGTTGTGGCAAAGTTGTCGGGAGAGTGAAAGTCATGTTTCGTGAAAAGAATGCGAAAGTTCTCGAAAAGAATGTAGCGTATGTGATTTTGCTTTCGAGGAAACAGCATACTTATATAATGACGAAATGAAACGGTTATGCATATTTCTTCTTCCCTTCCACCCTTGTATGCTCGCGCAGACTAGCTCCGGCATCGCATAAAGATTGCCGGCTTCAAAAACGTTCCGAGCCGGCTCCAAGCAAACCTTAAATCTATTACCCCAGTTTTTGACAACCCCTCTTTTCGGCAGCCTTATTAACAGCTGCAGCAAAACCTCTCTATAAAGATACCTGTTTCTGAAGTCTATTTTAAGCATATAGGGAATAAGTACCTTATATGCAGGTATCCGACTAATCCCGGCCCAGTAGTAGGGTTGACTAAATTATATAACTTAAAGAATCTTTTGATAGTCCTATAATGTAATGGTTTTTAATCGTTATAAATTATTATATCAAAGTTGTAGCACGTGATATACATGTGATATAAGCGTGATTTTTACATGATTTTTTGTATTTACTAAATTATCTAAAAATTTCAAAATTCCTTTAAAATTCTCTATTTTATATTAGAGAATATAACTGATTTAATTATTATTATATATTATAAGAAGCCGATTATTATTATATATTATATTATTATAAATTTATTTAATTCTATCTAGTAATAATTTAGCTCTAATTGGTTTCGATCGGATTATATTTTCATAATATCTTCTTTTACTAATGAAAATTAACTAGAACTTTAATATTATATAATAGATAAATTTTAACGATCTTATTAATTTAATAAGAATATATATCATTTTAAAATCTTAGAGATATTAAAATATAGAAATATCTTAATAAAGAGATTCTATGAATATAGGTTATTTTTAGGCCTAAAAAGTTTTAGTATTTAAAAATATCTCCTTAAGGAAAGACGTATAGAGTAGATAGGTTTATTGATATTGAGTATAGTGCGTATTCTATTGAAAGCTATATACGATCCAGTTGAGTATATCAACGAAAGTGATTACCTAATACGCCTAATGCGTTTAACCCGCTTTCTCCTTATGCAGAGTTTTTGCTGTACTAATGAAATCAAAAGCTTTCGATTTCAAGGGTGATAGAGTTTAGAGTTTCTCCGATTATTTCGGTTTCAGCGAAGAGCCGCGGAATTTTTCAATCTCTGCATTTCATAATCATCAAAACAATTCCAATCGAGTCAAGAAGGGCATGAACAGCTAGCATTATTTTCAGTATATCATGGAGGTCCTGTACGCCGAAGATAGATTCACGAGCCGCATCAGAACTCGTAATTTGGCAAGGAGACATCGCGTTATTTTCTATAGGTGAGACTGTTACTTGCAGCCCACAACGCACAAACCATACATTTTTTTGGACCCTTCGTTCGGATACCGGATGCTGCCATCATCCGTTTTTGTTAAGGGCAATTCCTTCCCCCAGGGGAGAAAACTTATTTGACTTCATAACGATATATATATTTTTTTGGTGCTACGTTCAGATAACAAATTTTGCCACCATGCGGGATTTGTTTTCCCAGATAGGACTCCTGTGAACATTGATCTTCAGGTTCATTTGTGTCGCTCTCAATTTCGCACTCAGATGCCTTTTCAAACTCTTTCTTTCTTGCACTTCGCGATACAAAGAACGGGAGGTTTTCATGCAAGGGCCTTGCTTGATGGATGTAGCCCATTGGCGTATGCATGATCTCTTGGCCCTCACGGCGAAGTGTGAGCCGCTCCGATAGGAAGTCAATAGGATTTTTCGAAAAGATGCTTAGATCCCCAGTATGATTCAATTGAGAGCTTTAAGTTGTCTCATTTGCAAGCTATAAAGCAATTAAATACTGTTAAACTCTTTGTTGTTTAGCCTAGCTGAACCCCGAATGTCTTTCCTCCCAACATTGCAATTTTCCCAAAATAGTAAAAGACTGGGTAAAAATTCGTGATTGATACTCCTTGACACTTTTTCCAATCCAACAAGAAACTTGTGGTCAGACCGAGAATATCATAGTGATGGAAGGTAAATTGTATGAATATGAACGTGCTCGTGATATATACGAAGGACGAGAAGATATGGATTATTGTGCATATCCTATATTATCAATATCAAGATCTACAAGGAAAATTCAATTCCTGATACTGAACCGTAAAATTTCAAGGAAAACACACTTTATACTCGGATGTCTCGTTAGCTGTGAAAACTTTTCAAAAACCACATACCAATTTCATGATAATTTGTTAGTATTATGTATAGAGAAACAATTTTAGAAGAAACGAAACATTTCATGAACCAAGCTGGCTGTGTGCCATGAGTCTTTCGAAACTGAAACATTACTTTAGACTGCTGTGGTCGCTGACCAAAGGATTACATATGATAATCACCCCGAACTTCCCAAATTGTACAACCATCTGCCCTCTCTTGGTATCTTGATTCTCATGGAATCAATGATTTGCTGCCCGATTCGTATTCTCAAGCTCTTTATCTTCAATTGAATCTTCCTCAACTATAGTTGCATTGAAATTCGTAATGTCAAGATTAGGATAAAGTTTAGGTTGCTTCTTACGCCGTTCTGTGTTGACTAATTCCACGTTTGTTTCGGAACCCTCACTGCCTCTACCGGATTTCTCGGATTCTTTTCTTCCCTTGGACCTCCTCACGCATCTGAAGCATAAAATGAATGCAATTTTCGAGCCCAATTTTCCAAACTGCCGGTCATATGTACGGAAGAATTTCGACATGTGCCAAGTACAAGCAATAATCATGCCGATAAACAATTCTGCGAGGCTGTAAAATGAAGTTAGCAAATATGATATTCACCTTTTGTGATTCTTACGTCAAGATAAATACGGGTACTAAAGCCCATGTGTTATCCAATCCAGATACCTGATTGAGTCGAACGCGGTAAATGATACTCAAGATTGAAGCCACAATGGCTCTATTTTTTCACGTTAGTATTCCCATCGACGAACCTTCGTTCTTCGTATTAAAATGAAACTTACAATGCTCCAGTAGCGAATATCAATCCTACTCCCAACTTCTTTTTTGTTGCCATATGTAATTTGCTTACTGCGAGTAATGGTATAACAAACAGGAAAACGTCAATTGCTAAGCCAACAGCAGCTATAGGAATAGTCAATTTCTGAGTGGTGAATATTCCATCTGAAATTAAGCTGTATACGAAGTTCTCGCCATGCGGTGGGGTTGTCCAGACAAGTGTAGCAATGGCCACTGGAAAATACCAAAGAGAGGTTATGGCGGCACCAATATAACAACAAATTCTAACCCAACGCATAGAGGTGAATATTTCGATATAAGTGAGCCAAATCGTAAGCTTTACGAGCCCGAAAGCCAAAGGGGTATTCCAAGTAGGTACAATGAATCCCTGTTCTATGTTAGGAATATATCAAGATCTCTCCAATAAGACGCACAACTCCGTTGTAATTGGTGAACAACCTAGCGAGTGAATAATCCCATGTATGCAATCCTACAGTTCCCAGACCAGTGACAGCTATGCCTTTTGTTAGTTGAGTATACATTAATAAGCAGAGATGAAACAACCTACATATAATGGTAATTACATAAGAGGTTATGGAGGCGAGCTACAGATGAGTAAGAAACTTGGCCTTCATGACAGAATCAGCACATACTAAGGCAAGAAGCCAGGTCACTAAAGCTTTTGATTAGTATTCCAAAATATAATAAAAATATTGATAAGTCAAGTTCGCAGCGATCTGGCTGGTGGTAGAAGATGAAATAGGTTACTTACAATCGTTCCAGCGCAGTTTCACAGGTCGCATAATCATAAATTTTGTCCACGTACGAATCCCACAACATATTAACATAAGAGCAAAGAAGAGACTGCACACTGCGATAATGACCGGTTGTAAGGTCTCTGGGTTTTCAGAAAAGGGTTGAACCCCTGGAGGTGGCGTTCCCGCGGGAATGGTAATAAGGACTGAGTGTGGTAACTTCACTATTTGTGCAAGCTCCTCTTGAAGAGGAGATTTGCGTCTGAATAATTGGATTATTGGACTCATGGTTCCTTTCTGCTTGAAATTAATCGAAGAATAAAAGACACAATGGATGAAGATAAATTCAAGCAGGTAAATATGAATCAGACGTATCTGTAGGATTATGAATGATGAAATAACTCAACGGTATACAATCTAGATTAATTGAAGAAGACTTCCATTACCTGCATGCATTTAGCACGAGGACAAAGGATGATAAATTCTCATGATTGGCTAGGTCAATACCAGATTCAGACCTCAACAGATGTTTAGAATGGTTGAAAGAGACGTCTTCAACGACGATGTGTTCTGCGGGAAGTCCCTTCGATCTAACAAGGAGATGTCAGATCATAAATACCGCAGACCACACGAGCAAAATTGCACCTTTATTCCGGTTTGTCTTGAGAATATTCGAAGAGCCTGAAAATTCAATGAAAGATGGTGAAATTCCAAGAAAATCGATTGTTTTGATTAGTAATGACGTGAAGAACAATGAAACCAGAACACAGGAGACTGGGAGAGATCTGGAACGTTTTGCCAGATACTTGGTTGGGATTGGATAAAGACAAACAAAGAATTACGGCAATTTAAAACTTAGACAGCGCATTTTCGAATTTCAATATCGTGCGTCGTTGAATAGTGTATTGGCAATTATGATCAAAATCTCGCGGGTGGTAAAGTTTAATCTGAAAACAAGGTATCGAAAGTGGACTGGTTTCAAAGCATTCCGTAACATGAACACGACAACGACATGTGTTTCTCTGAGCTGATAGCCTTTGAAGGTAAAAAGGTTATAATCAATGTCGCGTGGGAACAACTAGCAAAAACAGCATAATCCTGTATGGATTGAGTATCTGAAGCGTGGGCTCGGGAGAAGGGGCAACACATGCGCGGTAGTCCTACTCATGTCATATCAAAAAGAAACTCGACGCCAATACTACACACGGTCATCAGGGGATGAACATCCAACTTTGGTAAAGTTTTGGTGGTGAGAGGGCGCAAGAAAGACGCGGCAATGGGAAGAAATTGTGCTGCGAGACTGTTTGTCCGCCACGAAATTGATCTGAGGATAATAATTTCACCCAGAAAACGAAAGTTCCATCATGATTGTTTCCATATATCCGTACATCATTAAATCTCTGTTCACCGAATCTATCATCTCCAGCAGAGTTTTCTTGGAAGAGAACTCAATAACAACCGCTCTTGGTATTCGCGTGCATGTGGCCAACTTGAGCATTTTGAGATCTAACTCGACGTTAATTGTCGAGCACGTAAAAGCTTCGGCAGCTACCAGTTCGACTGGCAGAATAACGCCATCAATTCTTGCCTGCTATTGTTCCATGAGCGACAACGCACATGAGCGCAAAACCACTCTGGAAATCGATTAATGCTTTGAGACATCCACCTTCAGGGGTGTTATAAGCAGAAATCCCCCTTGCCTTGGTATTATCTCCCATTCACCATCACTACACCCTACCCTTCCCAGCCTCCTGAAACCAGATATTCAACGTGTTACCACCAAAGTCTTTGATACAGTACTCCGCCGTTGCGTGCCCAATCATCGTCATTGCGTATATTCTTGTTTGTTCATGCTTGAAGATTCGTCGTCAAGATCTAAGTTCCATCTCGCACACTTACCGTTTCCCCAAAGTATCTTGTTATTGCGGCACAAATACATTCAGCTTTACCAATCATTGATTCCACGAATTGTTTGCAGAGAGTAACGTCGAGGACGGCAAAAATGGTTGGAGGTTGAATAATTGTGGTTGACGCTCGCCACTACGCGTTCAGGCAGGCTAGAAGACCCCGGAACGGAAAGTCCAGTGCCCCGCACAAACATTTTGGCTCAACCACATGTTGGTTCAAAACTTTATAAATTTGTTGTACCGATCCTATCTTTGGCCATCGTCTGAGAAGCAAATCGGTGTCGCAAAATTTAATCGTCACAATTAAACCCGGCCGAAACCTTATTGGCCATTATGGACTCTTTGCCCTCCTATTTCACCTGACACTAACTAAAGATTTTGTCCACATAAGCATGCCACCTTGTCCTGGAAGGTCTTTCAACGTAATTTCTCGTATACTCTTCAATTTCTTCCAACTCCTGATTTCTCAATATCACCTCATGTGGTTTTAACCGTTTTGTTTTCTTGACGATTTTCCATCCGACAAAAATAATTGGAAAGACGCCAACCATTGCGTAGGAGAAGAGGAAAGTTGGAACATCCCACGCACCTGTCACAAAGTTAGTTCTTTCTATCCAAGAGGCCAAAAGAATTCGTAACATGCCGGGGGAGACGATGTCAGAGAGTGGGTAAAAATTCGACATACCAGGTAAGAAAACTGTATATCCACCGACAAAAGTCATGATAAAACATCCTGTCAATGCATAATATGCACTGAATGGTTGCCAAAAACTTGTATGTGGTAAAGTATTTCTATCAAGTCCTTGCGCATCACATGCTCTCTTCCACTACATCAAGTCAGTATTGTCCGCATAGCCACTCTGAAAATTCAACAGGTTCACTTACACATATAAAGGTATAAGCCATAACGCTGAAATTAATCAATTGACTTGCAGTAACCAAATTAACAAACCATTGAAGTACTACCGCTGCATTATTCGATACTTGCAAAAAGCTCAATAATGCAACGGCCAATGTAGCACAAACACAATAAATTGGAACGCCTTCCTTTGTGCACTTGGTGAGAAATTTGGGAGCTTTTCCTTCAAGCGCAAGACCGAAAAGTGATCTTGATGCACAATAAACATAAGAGTTGCCCGCAGAGAAAGCAGCTCCAAGAACCATGGCGTTAACGATATCCGGGAGAATTCTAATTTGAAGTCGATTCATGGCGACCACATAAGGACTAGCTGCTGCTCCTGGTAGACCATTTGTAAATGCATCTTTGAGTTCTTGGTCATTGTATGGAACCAAGATTCCCACAGCCAAACTTCCCAGAACAAAAAATGCGGTAAGCCGATAGAAGACCCCATTAAATGCTCTAGGCATAACAACCCTAGGATTTTGTGCTTCACCGGCTGCCATTGAGACATAATCTGGACCGGCTATGGTGAATGAGGCTTGAATGAGACATTGCAAGAATCCTAGGAAGCGACCAAGAGATCCCGTTTTATAAAGTTCGGTGAAAGCTCCTGGATTTGACCAAAATCGGAACCCGAATCGATCATGAAGTGGATTTCCACCCAGCATCGTGATGAAAGTGAATATGATCAGACCAACAATCAAAAGAACTTTCCCCATTGCGAGGTAAAATTCTGATTCTCCATACCATCTGACAGCAAATAGATTGATAAAACTATAATAGGGGTGGTCAATAGTTTAAGCAGAAAAGAATTCAAAGTAGCATACCCATAAAGAACTATCACAATAGCAATGATTCCACCAGCAGGAACTGCATCACTCCAATAATGAATGATGATGTTGCAAGCTACAATTTCGAATGGAACGAGAGCAGCTTCAAAGATAAAGAAGTTGTATCCTGCGGCAACTCCGAATGCTTCATCGACATACCGGCCAGCGAATCGTATGAATGGAGATGAAATCGGTAGATAAGTTACCATTTCCGCCATGCACTAAAGTTCTCACAATTAGAAGGGTGAATAATGACCGAGAGTGGTTACTTACATTTGTGACTGCCAAAATGAAAGTGCACCTAACATTTCAATACATCAGATGTCAATTCCGTGTCTTCAAATTCGACAATGGTCTAGAAGAAAGTAGGTACCTATACATACCAAATAGTGAAGGCCAAGAACAAACTTCCCGGTCCTCCATTTATCAACCCATGGCCAATTTGAACATAAAGAGCAGTTCCAATTGTCCCTCCGATGCCAATCAATTGAATATGCCTTGGTCTTAATTGCCGATGGGTAGAATCATGCGTCTGGTTGATGGATATGGTTTCGTCATGATATGGTGGAGAGAAGGTATCAAGTACTTCTTCTTCATGCTTCTCTTTCAGATACCCATCATTTGTAGGTTGTCTATATGAAGCAATGTTCTCATGATTAAATGGATGGGGTGCTTCAATACCAGAAGAAGACATGATAGCAATGATGATAATTAGGGAAGAAAATTGAAGAAAATATTTTTATCTCTCAATCAAGAATATTGTCAGCGAGCAAGAATTCGAAGACCCAGCCAACTAACGGTTAGTTACTGGTACACCAATACAGTTCGTCCGTGCCCCCCACTAAGGTTAATAAGACATCGACATCGACATGGACATGGGCAAGAGTGAATGACAAGGAAGAGAAATCCCCTCCCCCCGCAAATTTTAGGAGGGGTGACATGCCATTTGGAAAATGGGATTTCTAATGAGGCTCGAGTCGAGAATAACCTTGGAAGGCGAAAAATATTTCATATGATACCTGGTAGTAGGTGAAGCCCTTGGCTTTTCTACGCCAACTGCCATCTTCATTTCATGTCTGCGGTGCAACCTTGGAATCATCATAAGGTTGCAATCATACGTCGGGCGTCCCGAACCAGATCCCATGGACCATGGACCATGGTTAATGATTGATACGATACCGGTATGTGCTTGAGGCAGCGTGGAAAGGGCTAGTATGAATAGGTAGATAACGAAGAAAGTCGGTTTCTCTCCCGTTCCGACTTTTTCATTGGCTGCGCATACCATGTAGGTCAATCCAGGTTAATGAAGCTTTTTACAAGGGCCGAAAGAGCCTCGGTTTGAGATGGAGTCCACGGGTTTCCTGGTAATTTTTCAAGCCACAACTGCACCGCCGCATTAAACGTGGGGTGATTGAGCACGGTTCCAAGGTTCCTCAAGCTGAGGTCTCCAGCTACCATACTGGTATTACCAAATTGCTTTACTCGTACCATTATCTTTTAAGAAGCAACATCTATGGTAGAACTGCTCAATTTCAAATTCTGTCAACTGCTTTATCTTGAGAATCAGCTTCACCGGTAATTCCTCAATGTCAAACGAAGACCCAGTAAATGCTGGGGCTACGGTTCAAGATGACCACGAAGCTCTGCCACCATGGTACGAACAAAAAATTCTACCATGACTGAAATGGATGCAGGATACCTTATCCTGTACTCCCTGCCTCAGTTCACAACCCGATGGATCACATTGATCGTTGGTGTAGCCATAATGAGCTCCCCTATCAGCGCAAATATTTACCTTTCCTGTGTTCCTCTTCTTCAACGCGGCACGAATGTTAGCCTTCAATTGATCAATACCATCATCACCGCAGACGTGATCATCCAGGGAGTAGCACCTGCATTCTTGAGAGGATTATTAGATGGACTTGGGCGTCGACCAGTATATTTGATGACGTTTACTTCTTGTATCGCGGTGAGTATTGGGCTTGCATTACAAGATAGTTATGATTCATTGCTTGTGGTCCGAATATATTGAATAACTTTGGATTTTCAAGGGAACATAACCAAAAACTGTAGAAACTTATGGAATTATAGTATTTTAATATTTTACTACAGTAGGCCGTCTACAATGACGGAGAGCGAAAGCGAAGTATCACATCTGCTATCGCTCTTCAAATCATATTTCAGTTGTAGATCTGAATTTATTATAACTTTACTAGTTTTGAGTAAGAGTAACAAACCCTTGCTCTACCCATTGAATCCTATCTGCCTACTCCATAATACCACATAGCTTTATCTATTACTCCATTGTTCTCATTATATCCATTTCGTGCCCGCTCGATTGATTTGCTAATGCTACCGATTTTGGCATTTCAATAGTTAAAGAGCCTTAGATGCTTGTTTCGAAATTCGAATTCGAATCTGGGCTCCACCCACAAACTTTCTCTACTCGGTCATTAGAGGTCCGTTCCATCTTTTAAAATCTTCAGTGTCAAGCCCGAAAAGATCCAAGCAACGCCCTATCATTTGATCTACTAGATCATCTATCGAACTAGGTCTTGTATAGAATGCCGGCATCTGCGGGCAAATGATCGCTCCAGCTCGGGTGACCGTCATCATGTTTCTCAAATGAATCTCGCTCAACGGCACTAACCTCCGTTTTTCCTTTAGCATGACATCGGCAGCTCTGGAGATCAAATCTTCGCAATATCCGGAACTGACGGCAGCCAAAGTCTTCATGCTACACGGAATAATAATCATACCATCAGCATGGAAAGATCCACTCGAGATTGGGGCGGCTTGATCATGATTAGACCACACATGATCAGCAAGAGCTTTAATATTTGCAGACGTATAATCCGTCTCGTATTTTATAGTAGCTAAAGCCCAGTGACTGAGGACGAGGTGTGTTTCGACATTCAGACGTCGTAGCGCTATAAGGACTTTGATTCCCAGACAAGCACCAGTGGAACCAGTCATCGCTACCACAATGCGTCTGCGAGGGGTCGGAGGGTGGGTAGCTTCATTCGTCATTGTTTCTGACAGGAAGAACTTTGTATGTGTGGAAAAAAGGTGACTACGGGAAGAAAGCCTAGTTGCGTGCAAGAAAGAAGATTGATGAATGATGTATTGTTTCCGTTCACAGCTGAAATCTTTAAATAATGATCCTGAAATTCATCATGACGCACAAAGTTCAAAGCATTTGAAGTTATACGGAGGCCGCTCCGAGTCGCGCCGAAGTCCCCCGAACTGTTACTATCCCACAAAATGCTATACGTGAGGTTGAGAGAATTTCAACTCAAGACAATTGATTTTGTAAGCTTTACTAGTTTTGAATGTCACATTATATTTCCGAAAGAAATAACGTCACTTCTGTTCTTCTCAGCGGCCAAAGAGTAGCTCATATCATCACTCCCACAGCTTTCATATCAAAGATATGATCCATCTTCAATTTATGCTATAAAACCGGGTATATCGGAATGAGTCTCTGATATGCACGATTTTATGGATGCAAAAGTAGGGCCCTTGAAAGCTTCGGAGCTGTAATATTGTAGTTGTGTGCACAAGTCGTCATAATTTGTAAAAATGCCATGTGATGTTGTGCCGATCTTCACCGAAGATCTCCGAAGCGTTCCATCCGCTCCACTGAGAAAGCCCTTAGAAGTCTTGACTAATGAGCAAAATATCGTTTTGTTAAGAATATATATAAATAATGGATATAGCAGGTTCACTAAGATCTTAGACTCAAAAACTCGGTCCTCATCAGTGCCGACAAAAATCATCAAATAATTCCCTACAACACATCAAATACCATCATGGCTCCCACAGACCTATCATCATATCTCTCGAAGTCGAACCGAGAACTTCCATATTTAAACTTTCGAGAATTCATAGAAGCGCTCAAGAAGGATGATGATATTGTGGAGATCGACAACGAGATTGATCCTTATCTAGAAGCAGGAGCTATCATTCGCAAAGCTTGCGAGACTGGTGCACCTGCGCCCCTTCTCAAAAATATGAAAGGTGCAGAAAATGGTCTCTGGAGAATTCTAGGAGCCCCGGCATCTTTGCGCCACAACCCCGCTCAGAGGTATGGTCGCATTGCACGCCATCTAGGACTTCCACCATCCGCCGGGATGAAGGAGATTCTTGATAAAATGACATCAGCTGCACATGCTACATCAATCCCGCCAAATATTATTAGCAGTGGCCCAGTGAAGGAGAACAACCTCTTCGGAGATGAGTTTGATTTAGACAAATTGCCTTCCCCTTGACTTCATCAGGCTGATGGAGGGAAATATGTACAGACCTACGGCATGCATGTCGTACAGACACCGGAAAAATCTTGGACGAACTGGTCAATTGCACGTGCCATGGTCCATGATAAGAACCACCTTGCCGGATTGGTAATTGAACCCCAGCACATCTGGCAGATTCATCAGCAATTGAAAAGGATTGGAAAGGATATACCAAGGGCATTGGCTTTTGGCGTGCCTCCAGCAGCTATCATGGCAGCTAGCATGCCCATTCCAGATGGCATCACTGAGTCTGGATACATTGGGGCTATGACCGACTCTGCTTTAGATGATGTTGTCAAATGTGAAACTAACGATCTATATGTTCCAGCCAACGCTGAGATCGTTTTCGAGGGAACAGTTTCAATCACAGAAACTGCTCCGGAAGGTCCGTTGGTGAAATTCATGGTTACTTATTTCCTGGAGATACACATGAATGACTAAAGTACAAGGTCAATGCGATCACTTATCGAAATAACGCGATCCTACCTGTTTCGAATTATGGTCGTATCACAGATGAGACACACACACTTATTGGCTCACTTGTAGCCGTGGAGATCCATCAACTTTTCCAGGATGCCGGTCTCCCAATCACGAACGCATTTGCGCCATTCGAAAGCCAAGTCACCTGGCTCGCATTAAAAGTAGACATCACAAAACTCAAGGAAATGAACACTACTCCAAAAGCATTCAGACAGAAAATTGGAGACTTGCTCTTTTATCATAAAGCTGGCTATACCATTCATCGTCCAATTCTCTATGGTCCTGATATTGATGTCTATAACTTCAAAGATGTCATGTCCACATTTTCAACACGGTGCCAACAAAATCATAACGAGACATTTTTCGAAGAGTGTCGAGGGTTCCCATTGATTACTTATATGTCTCATGGAACCAGTTCGCCTGTCCAGAGTGGAAAGGTTATCTCGGATGCTTTAATGCCCACCGAATATGAGGGAAGTCAGAATTGGCATCAGGCTTTGTTCAAACACTCATACCCCGAGACTTTACAGAAGAATATCAACGCTAAATGAATGAATCCGTGGGGATTTCCAGATAATTGAAAGAATGCACAGATTAATAGCCGGTAAATTGAGTATATAGACACTAGTAAATCTTCATTAACTAAGGAACCAAAATTTTGGATGCGAGAATCTAAAACCTTGACACATTTATAGTAACTGTATGAACAATAATGTGTATAACATAGCGATTTCTAATGATAACTGATTATATTGTTGGCACACTAATCAACAGACCTATGGATAATAATATGTTCTTGTAAAAAAAAAAAAAAAAAAAAAAAAAAGTACCATTGATTGAAGATGAGGAGAACATACCATTTAGGAACCTCTGCTAGCTCCATCGCCTGAAGGTTCTATTGCTTCATCACCCGCTGGCCCCGATGCAAAATCTTTCCCGATTTTTTGACCTCGAGGTATGTAGTTCTCTAGCGAAGAGTCAAATCCAAACAATTGACTCTCAACCATTGAGGAATCTGTCTATACGATTAGCAATCTTGAGAATCTCGAGAGTGAGGATCCGTGCTCACCCCATATAATTGGGTCAAAAAAGTTTATTGAGTTCGCAATTTCTAGACTGTCTACTGGTTCATAAGAATCAATATCGTTGCTATCATTCTGAAAATTTATGAAATCCTGCGGACCCGGTGTTCTTAAACTCCCAGAGATTAGCCTTATACATCATGGATGATACTGTTGGAGTAGATGCAGGACATACAGATCTAGAGGCTCATTCAAAGATCCTGAAGCAATGCCTGGCACCTTTTCGGTAAATCCATCCGCAGTTCGATCGATAGATCTGCTTTGGATATTTTATAGTCCCCTGAGTGCGGAAACTGCTCATTGATGTTGTTTCGACAATTCCATGCTTCGATCTGAAGCACCGCTACTTCCAGCGAACAGATCGAGAACATCACTCAGTGAGCTATTCACCTCTAGATTTAATGGTTTTTTGGCATAAAGTAGGCCTAATAATCATGCCAAGCTGAGTCCATTGTGCATTATAGGCCATGAGCGTGAGGCAAGGGAGCTTAAAGAATGAAGTCGTAAAAATGCTTGTGTCCCCTTAAGCAGATAGGAATCATATTTTCCAACTAGCAATTTCTGACTCTCATCCATTATTTGACAGCCACGAAATTTTCGGAGGGTCAGAAGACACAGTCACACAACCGCGAAACTGACATGTAGCTCAAGCGCATATATGATTCACACCGCTGGCGAATGTTACTACTCCGTGTTATGTTACTGCCCCGTGTTAGCTCGTCCAGCGGCTCCCTAGTAGGGAGAAGAACCTCCTCAATTTGTTTGACATTCTCCAGGTTCATAGGAGATTCAATTCTGCAGATCTTTGAACGGGTAAAGAGCGGAGAAGTTTATCACAGAACATTCATACGCTCCGAGTATGAAAAGACACTCTTGAGTTCTGTCAAAACTCCTGATGGCCAAATCGTTGGATATCTGTCGAAAAATAATGAAAGAAGGGTGTCCTGCCACAATAGCGCTAGCCATAATTTGTAACGTGGCGAAGACTCGACAGAGTTCTCTTCATGTAGACCAAGACTTTGAGCAATTCTTACCGTAGCTCCTAGAAGATGACAAGCTGCTTCTGGCTAAAAGCAAGGGGTGTTGCCTTCGGTCTGGAATTCTGTGGATTGAAGGTCCATATAGCGTAAAACAGCCTGGCCAAAACACTCTCGTCTCGGCTTTTATTTTGGAATCTTCGGCTTGCTCATCTTCTAGTGGTGGCCGAGTTCTTTCATTATGATGCAAGAGATTGAAGGACGTGGAATCCAGCAACAGAACTTCTCAAAGTTGTCTACAGTTTGATTGCACAAACCATAAATATGATGGGGGATGATACTGAGACAGATGGAACGTTTCCCGATTTCTCTGCCGAGCGCTTCCAGGAATTCAAAGAGAATACTGACGCACTACCCGCTGCAATCCAGTTGTTAGCAGATCTAATTTCAGTCGGACCAGCTTTGTAGTTTTGCATTGTGGATGGTTTGGAGATACTCGATAGCTGTGAAGGAAATGTGTTGCTCAGGAAGAGTTTCAAAGATCTGATTACCCTTATGTGTAAATCAGTTGCTGCAAAGTCGTTCTCGGGTCGAGGACGGATTTTCAAAGTTCTGTTCACAACCAACGCTTTTGTGGGAGAGCTCGCAGATCGTCACGATGCAGAATATTTTGTGAAATTGACATAGGACGACGAGAAGGAAGACGAGCTTCTTACATATCCCTGACCATCGCATTAAAAACTCATTGCAAGTGTTCTCCCAGGGTGGTATGGAACCTTTAAATTCCATCACAATCTTCCGGGTCCAATACCACGCATCCATATTGCTGTCAGGCAAGTTCAAAAGAATAAGTTCAAATGCTGTTCACCCATCTGATTGCCACGACTTCCATAGTTCACGAGCTGGCAATGTATTTGTTCAATACCAATGGGTTGAGAATGAGCACATCTGTCGTTGGTTTGCTTTGCCTCTACGTAACCGAAAAAAGCGGCGGAAATTTACCATCACTCAAAAAAACTTGAACAACTAAGATCTCTTCTTAATATAATATTAAATAATAAAAACATTTAATAGCAATACAAAAAGACTCAAATTTTCATTTGCTTTTTTCAAATTTTAATATTTAATTTGAAATGAATTTATAATCTATTAAAAAATTGCTCAATGTCAACCACTTTTTTCGGCTACGTAGAGCTTGCTATCATCTCCAACAGTTGGATTGTGGTTAATAAGGTACATCTGGCCTCGTCTATTCATTTTCAGGATTTAAATGGTCTTGAGATATGATGAGGCTGTGCCAGAGGGTTTCTTTTGCTCTGTCTTATTCGGTTTTCTAAATTCATTTCTCCTTCGACCTCCAATCATGTGTGGGACAGAATAAATCTCCAGAGCTTTTCCGTCGTTGGGTATGTAGACATACTTTCGGACAGCTTGGATATCATTGTCGTAATTACCATTCAAAAAGTTCCTCACTTTACCTATTTACGACCTCGTAGATCAGTGGATCACTCGCAGGCTTGATGCAGGCCATAATACTCAAACACCTTAGTCACAATATTCAGATCCTCGAACAATATACCACTTCAATTGGGGAAGAACAAGCCGCTTAGCATGATTGGGACGGATGAGGATCTGAAGACTGGCAAGATCCGAACTCACCATCCAAATCTTGTCATTGGTGCCGACGGTGTAAATTCAACGACCTGAAAACTGTTGTATCCGGAAGTAAACCTCCCTCATGCTGGTCACTTAACATGGAACGGGACTGTATCAGAGAAAGATGTGCGTAGGGAGAGGCTGCCATTCATTCATAACAAATACATTCGTTATGCTGATAGATATTATATCGTTGCGTATGGTCTCCTGAGTATATTCTTTGCATTGCATCAATCTTTGAAGATGAATTAAATTCCAGATGCCTGATTCCAGGCGAAAACAGGAGTGTTATCCCCGGTAAACGACAAGTGAAATTGATTTGATTCGATGCATACGAAGCCATTTCTCCAGAACAGCAAGTAGTGATCACAGATATCGACGGATTGAAGCATCAAAGAACTGATTCATTTATCAGACTTCGCTCCGAAATTTGGGCACAAAAGCAAGCAAACGATGAACACTCTCCGGAACCTATCAAAGAAATGATGAAAGATATCCAGAACCAGTTTGTGACAGGTATCTAAGGTTGCATCTCACGAAAGGCAACACATTTTGATGGCACGCTTTTCTTGGTTGCAAATGATTTCGTACTATTTCGACCATCGGCAGCACAAAGTACAAATCGATGGGCTTTACATTGCCTACTCCTAGAGCAACTTCTTCTGAACAAGATTACCTTGCAAAACTATGAAAATCAAGTTCGTTTATGTGAAAATACTACTCTTCATTGAAGTAGGGAGGTTGTGTCATGTGTATGAGCAATCTCGCAGGCCGACTGTACCACAAAGTCCGTCACCAATTGGCGTGTCAGAGCAGGAGATGGGTTTTTCGGTTATGAAGCCGATTCTTAGCGATTGTTTGATAGTAACCGATCGTATTCATCTTTAAGTTGGCCTGGATTCACCTGTTTGAGTTTGGTATTTCCCCGTAATCAATGTATATTATGTCAGCATCAGATGTAGACTTCTTGGAACTTCTCATTGATTTACTCGCTCAATGTCGAGTCATGATCCAGAAATCTTAAAATTGACATTTGTTGCAATACGCCGCTACTCCGTAAAAATGTGTCTGCTCTGACTGTACTTTGAGAATATCCGGGTGGTACTAGTGAAATACGGAAGATAATCGACCCAAAGTTATTGAAACATACCGTTGTTCCCATCAATCATGGCCCACCGAGCAAGTCCGCATCATCGAGCACGCACATCCTTTCGATAGAATCGATTAAGTTTGAGCTGCTCATGCTCATACCGTTTCTTGAGACACTAAGAGTGTTTGGATTGACAGATAAAAGTTGTATTCTGATCCACTTTTCTCGTGAGCTCTTAACTCCCCGATGAGCCAAGAAACATAACTCCCCGAAACAAGAGATGGCGAGTTCAACATCACACAATGCAAGAATAACCATGAGCTAACAATGCCTTCACTCGCTTCAGTATCATACATCGGAAATTTTTCAGTGCGAACGCCGATCTGGACAGTAAATCATTTCGACTACGGATTTGTGGCGTCGGTCCTAGTGAATCCGACGATCCAGACTTGTGTGCGTCAACGTAAAGCTTCGGAAGTAGTGAAATATGGTCAATGACATGATGTATACCATTGACAAGTTAGATGAAGTTGAATCTTGTCGACATCTATATAAGAGCTCAATAGGCCTCCCATCTTCATTCCCATCATTATCAAACAATAATCTCAAAGATCTGATCATCACATCAATCAAGCTCACTCCAAAAACCTCAATTATCTCCAGTTGAAAAACACCAGAATTACCATCAACATGCTCGGAAAAGTCTCCCTCGAAGAAGCCTACGAAATCCCCAACTTGGCGGATCAATCTCGTGACCAGGCTGCCATGTATATTGCCCCAAAGGACCTCGATCGTTACATGCGCCAAATCAAATCCATCACTGGTGAACGTGTCAAGGTCTCTGATGCGAATGGAATTGGTTACACCATCGTTTCTTTGACCGTTCCAGGTATTCAAGGAATCATAGACCCAGTTAAGGCCGAGAAACATGCCACTGAATGCAACAACTACATCGCCAATGAAATCAAAGACCACCGAGATCGACTTGGAGCTTTTGCGTGCCTTTCAATGCACAACCCCGAGCAAGCTGCCGCAGAGTTGGAACGATGTGTCAAGGAATTTGGATTTCACGGTGCTCTCGTCAATGATTTTCAACATGCTGGTCCTGATGGAGAGACCTACCTCTACTACGATCAACCTGCTTACGATGTTTTCTGGAAGAAATGCGTAGAGCTTGATGTTCCACTCTACATTCATCCTGCCGCACCAACTGGATCCATGTATGAGAAACAATTTGCTCAACGCAAATATCTCATTGGCCCACCACTTAGTTTCGCTAATGCCGTTTCCCTTCATGTCTTGGGACTTATCAGTAACGGTGTCTTTGATCGTTTCCCAAAACTCAAACTCATCATTGGTCACTTGGGCGAGCATATTCCTTTCGATTTTTGGAGAATCAATCATTGGTTTGAGGATGTCGAAAAGCCTCTCGCCGAGAAAAATGGTGACATTCCTTGGAAGAAGACTGTCGTTGATTATTTCAAGACAAACATCTGGATCACTACCTCCGGTCATTTCTCGACCCCTACTCTCAAGTATGTTTGTGAGTACTTAGGTCCCGAGAGATTGCTATTCAGTGTTGATTATCCATATGAGACAATTGAGAATGGATGTGGATGGTGGGATGGTGATGCGGAGAACATCAAGAAGGCGCTTGGTGGCCGAAAAGCATATGAGGATGTTGGAAGGGAAAATGCAAAGAAGTTGTTGAGACTCGGAAAGTACCATGATTCGGAAGCTGTGGTCGAGTAAGGTCTAAGGCATCCACCAGTAGAAGGAAAGAGCCAAATTCTTTTTCCAATGCCGACTTACAGGCCAGAGAAATAGTTTTTAGAGAATCAACCATACATTCATTTGTCAAATTGATCTCACCTAGAAATGCTTCTTGTGGATGCTCGACATAAGTTCAATCTGGATGACTGTGCTGACCGACCTTTTCTCTGGAAAGGCACTTGCTACTAACGTGAGAATCGATGTTGCGGCAGCAACTTGACCTCATCAACTATGCAGGTCTCAAGGGCGGATCGAATGCATACTAGGTAACTACCTTTCTTTAAGCCACGAGCCTTATTGATATTCCCGAAATTAGAAGGATATATCCAACCATATCTTGCAATTATGATCTTCACTCGTAGATGGGAACGGAACCTTCGACCTTCGATTGTTATGTTCATTGAAAAGAGGAATAAAGCAAATGTCGATAATTTGAGGCATAGAATCATGAGTGCACTGGAGATAACACGTGAATGTATTGAAGTATTGTAATGTCAGGGAATGTCTGGTGGGGGAAAGTAGCACGCAAACATTTGAGTAACGAGGAAACGTAACGACAGGACGCGTTGAGTACAGAAGAATCGCACTTCAACACCTTCGACGATAATAATTGTCAAGCAAACCATCTCTTGAACCAATCAATAGCCTGAGCCTCCGCCTTATTTGCAAACTCCAACTCATCCTTGTCGTCAGGATGTGTTCGAATAGCAAATCCATGCTTCGCACCTTGAAGAATACTGACTTCAGAGTTACCCTTGTGCTTCACCTGAAGTATTTCCTTCATCTGATCAATTTGAGGAGCTTTCATGGCTGAATCATTATCTCCGATTGATACACTAAGTGGAATTTTGACTGCTTCGATATCATTCGGGACCTCGATATAAGAAGGATGGGCAGTGAATGCACAATCGATCAATGGTTCAGGAGTAGTAGATTTGGCTTGCGATTGATGTCGTTGAACGCGCGATGACAAATCGTCTTGTGCAAGAAGTATAGTATGTTTTCCACCCCAACAGAAACCCGCCACACCAATCTTGAGATTGGTCGTTGGAAAGGGAGGTTCGGATGATCGAAGAGCTTGAAAGAAGGAAACTACTTTAGGATGGGTGATGGGAATTTTTGTCTTTGTTTTCCAAGGAATTGCGATAATCATAGCTTGAAAAATATATATAGGTTTGAAGAAAATTGTCGTCAACCAAGACGCAGGTTCCATGATTTTATCAAATAGAGAAATGGCGCGAGGATTCATTGCCTTGCCTATGGAGAAGTCAGGTTGTCTTAGAAGGTAGATGGAGCTGGAGAAAACGAACCATCCATAAAGTCGGGACAATAAACCAAGAATCCGCCTCCTTTGGCATAACGATCTGCCATTACTCTGTTGTTGACAAAATCCCAACCAAAAGCATCAGTAATGATAACAACTATACCCTTTGGCACATTCCCATTTTCTGGTTCTGCAACATAAGTTGGGAGACCGTGAATTATAGTTTCTTTGCCAGTTGCGGTTGTTGTGGTTAACCCCCCTCGAAAGCAATCTGAGCACGACATCTTAAGAGGTTTTGAATTGATTGACGGGAATTGTAAGAGGTTCGAAAAGAGTTTCAATTGCGATTAAAGACACTCTTTTATGGACTTACTGAAGACATATAAATACCTGATAGTTGAGCATGTACTGATGGAAGGATGATAGATTCCTTATCATGAACTACGCCTTGGACGTTCACCACCATCCATCCTTACGACGTAGCCAATCGGTGTCAGCTTACCTTGAATTCGAGACGCCACGGTGTGACTCATGTGGTTCAATTGCATCAAAAATGTCATCCAGAAAAGAGGTATAGTGAGAGCATCGGCGAGACCAATCTGGTTGTGAATGTCCAAACCGTAAATGAAGGAGTAGAAATTGGTCAACCATGGCGAGAAGTCTCTATCTAGGTCTTACCGCTCGAAGACCTGTCAGTACAAGCGGTAGTGTTGTATATGGAAACGATCGCCGAACTAATATTTGCTCTTAATGGGAGCAATTGAACATCTGGAGATGATTCAATTTAGTACTATGGATCATTTATGTCATTTATGGAAAAAGGCTGGAATATGTCGTTCTTTGTGGGAATATTCAAACATGCCCAGGTGATATCAAAATAACAATCAAGCTACGATAGAGAGAGTATTCCTAAAGACTGGTCCCGTGTAGCTCTAACCGGATTAGTTTTAGATCGATAATTTTTCTTCATCCTCTATATATTCCACTACGTAAGAAGTGAGTCGACTGGAATCGTAAAATCATGTGACTGAGACCACGACCATCATAACAAGAAGAACCAGGGGATTCTCACCGATTGCCCGGATCATCTTTCTACGGAGTAAAGGAAGAATATCAACAATTTAAAATCTCATAATTTCTCATAACATACATCTTATACATCAAGAATATCATTGATATATGATATATAGGGCTGTTGTCAGCACAATCTCACCTCTCCTTTACCAACTATTACGTGTGATCCGAGTCTTGGCACATCATTATCTCATCAACTTTTCTTCTTACCTCTCACCCCCCCACTCTTACTGTCTCCACGAATCCCATTTCTCCATCTCCATCCATGGATATTCCTCTCTCCGAAGATGTACCCGAAGTTTCTCAAAATCAGGACCAACCGCAAACACAACAACCTGTCCGTAAACGACGGAGAACTCAATTAGCTTGCAATTCTTGTCGTCAAAGAAAGACGGCTTGCAACGGCGATCGCCCTTCATGCTCATCGTGTATAAGAAGAGGTGTTCAAGACAGTTGTTCTTATGAGGAGGCAACGGTAGGCTCTAAAGCTTCTATCAACACTGGGTGGGTTGTTCTTATTTCCCCGGCTGCACGGCCGGGCCCTTTTGCACGGGATTTCACCCAACAACCAAGGCGTTATTTTTTAACTTTTGTTTCCATGAAGCATAATGTACTCATTCTGAATATCTGAACATTTGGACTCTTTGATCCTTCTAAAATGTTGGATATTTTTCAACCATAGTCTACACTCAGACAATTGTCCCAACATTATGAAGTCGTGTCCAATCAGCTGATTTGCCGATATTCAGGAAGTCTTTAATGATCGGTAGTCCAAAGCCAAATGTTCACTTTCGATCAGTCAGTAAATCAACCTCATCTCCGAGTCTAGCTGCAGGGATTGCAGCTTCTCCTGGAAATGTTGGTGGTTTGGCTATGGTTTCCGATACAGAGACACAAGATTCTCTTTACGGAGGATCATCGACAATTGCATTAGTATCTCAAGTTCGACAAGCAGCGTCAGATCAAGCAGTGCCGATCAATGAACCGCATAAACCACTGATTGACAATCTACCTCAACCACATGGTGAAGTAGAAATACTCTATAAGCAAGATTTTGCAAATTTTATTTTACCTCAGCGTCAACAGGCTGATGAGTTCATAAATTGTTACTGGGAATTCGTTCATCCAGTATTTCCTCTTCTGGATCTCCAAACCTTCAATGCCACTTACGAGAAATTGTGGATATCATCACCAGGAAAAGGATTAGACGGAGATGAGTTGAACGAAACAATCTTTCACGCTACACTTAATCTCGTTTTTGCTTTGGGATGTCAATATAGTAAGGACGTTCCTCCGCAACGAAAATCAAGCTATGCAGATGAATTATATCGACGCTCGAGAAGGTTACTGAACTTTGAGATATTGGATGCACTACAATTATCTTTGGTTCAATTGTTTCTACTCACGGGGGTTTATTTACAATCCACTGAACATGCAAATAGATGTTGGAATGTGGTTGGATTAGCCATTCGAACCGCGCAAGGATTAGGTCTTAACACGGAAAACAACTCGCATAGGACCAGTCAACTAAGTTATGAGATTAAGCGAAGGGTATGGCATTGTTGTACATTGCTTGACCGGTCTGTAGTTCTATTTGAATTTTACTCCTTCCGTGGCTAATTACCAAAAAGATTGCTGGCCATGACATTTGGTCGACCGACTATGATTAAAACCGGATCCTACGATGTTCCAGAGCCATCGATAATCGATGACCAATATCTAACAGCAGATTTCCATCAAGTTCCGGGAGCTCAACCATCTGGAGTTCATTCTCGGATGAATTTATTTGTCTACTCACTCAGGTTATTCGACATTATGGATGAAATACTTTCCAACTTTTATATATTTCAAGGTGGCAAGAGTGAAAGCGATTCTACCAAGTCTTTCGATCCTTGGTCGGTAGGTGATCTGGCCAGTATACTGACCATCAATGCGAAACTCGATGATTTTCGAGAGATTGTGCCTCAAATATTCAAGGATGTTACTTCGTTTGCACTTGGGACCGACGCTTTCGCACCTGGCCAACTTCATGTTGTTTTACAGTCAAAAGTACTACGAAGCAGGTAAATAAGCAAAGCCCGTCAATTTCAACTCAATATCTAATATTATCTCTGAGATTTTTACTTGTTCGCATCTTACTCCTACGACCCATACTCTTAGCGTCCGTCTTCAAGGAAAAGTCAGCCCTACTCGCCAAATCTGAGCCTGGACTAACGAAAGATCTCGCCATTGGAGTTTGCACATTATGTGTGAAATCTGCTCACTTGCTTGTAGAGACTATACACGAAAATCTCAACACGGAGTATCGTAGCTCAGGATGGCACACTGTTTATTGTAAGTTTCTTGCAAAAACTTATTATCATCTGACAGCAGTCCATGCTCTTGGAAACCAAGGAACCTCACTCAAATCTCATATACTAACAATAACAGTTGCATTCGCTGCCGCGACTATCCTTCTTGCGGCACAATTATCTCCGCTGATCCAAGCAAGTTTGTCCACCGAACATTGCTTCGAAACGTCATGGACTTCATGTATTGAGATTCTCGAGCATCACCAAGTGCAGATCCAATCAGCCAAACGAGCCATAAACATTTTAGAAACGTTGAAAGAGAAAGTTCAAGCAAGAAAATCGGCTGAAATTACGAATTCATCGAATGGAAACCCACTCGAGTCAAACATAACTGGCAATCCAACACTTGCCAAGCAAGACTTCGCTAATCCCCAAGGGTCAGTTTCCCAGGATTATTCAACTATTGTGCCCGGAGTCCCCAATGGAGGGCTTGGGAATGATAATATTATCATGTTTGATACAGGTATGCAGATGGATTCGATGAATGATGCTTGGTTTACCCAGCAACTTTCGGATTTGAATTGGTTGGATTATTATCAAGTATCACCACAGTGAAGGGAAAAATGCATTATGTTCTGCAACATCAAATATGCCTCCATAGAGAGCCTCAATATTTGTGCTCTGGTCAACAGCCATCAAACTGCCAGACCTGCTCAAAGCGGCCCTGGGAAATGCTGTGTCACTCTTAAAACCATCGCGGACTTCTTCCAGAATAAGCTATACCACCAGACATCTAAATATAACATAATTGGCGTAATTTGCGCATCCTGTTATTATTTGGATCTCCCATCAACATTGAAGGGGCTTGCTGCACCATAAGATATTTTTGATGTACATACCACTCGCAGTCTTTTGTTTGTTTCTTACAAAGATTCCTTCTTGCTTTCAAATACTATACTTATGAAATCAACCAATGATTCCTTCTCTACGTTTTAAACCCCTTTTGTTGCAAATATGTTACGGGGTTCTGAATCTGGAGATGGCCCCACTTTATCACTTCTGAGTGCCATAAACAATGATACAGTGTAGGTATCCAGAAGCGGCATTTCATATGTTTGTGCAACAAGTATCCTATGGTATGAATTCTTTCCACCAACATGTCCCTTGAGAATACCCACCTTCTCACTGCTAGAACTTAATAAAGTTCTCACCACTGAATAACCCCACGTCTATGAAAATCTTTGCCATTCAAACTAGTTCTTAACGGAAAGTTAAGAATCGATAGACTAAAGGGATTAGTGAAGTACACGGGTACAAGCAGGTCTGACAGGAATATTTCGAGCTATTCAGAATACTTGAGCGAAACTAGCTTCTTATGGAGATATAGAGAGATTGGTCTAAATCTCATCGTCGGTGTCACCTGGTATGCTTCGTTACGGTATGTCTAATTCACCTTCAAATGTTTGAAATCTCAAGAAAAACAAACATCAACGTCACTCTGAGCTTTCAATGGCAAGCTCCAGAGCCAAGAATAAATCGGAACAATTCATTGACAAGCGCCTACGCGTTGTAAAGAAACTGGATCTTAAGTGCTTTACTAATCAACTTCTTCAATGCGAGTAATACAGACAAATAGCGACAAAAAAGGAAACGAGCTCTGTTGTACTACTCGAAACTGACTACCCCCAAAGGGAATAAGAACCCTGCCATGAGCATGAGATTTGCAAGTGGAGAGGAGCTTAACAGAAATATTTGCAAATTTGAAGAATTCGGTCGAGGGATTCTCACAGTGCCTACAAGCAATGTAGGAATTCGTCGGCAACTCACGGTAATAATGCAGGAAAGGCATCCAAATCATTATTGCTCTAGTCATGTTGACCTGAATTCTTATTTGGGGGGGGGGGGCGATGCTGTTTACCTTCCATCAATCGACCAGTTGTCATTCTGTTCCCTTCCATTCGTAGCTCCGTGCCTCAAGTTGTCTGACCCGCTGAATTATTGAATCGGCAAACTTTTGTCTTCCCAGCCCCAAAATTCAGCTGTTTATCAGTGGTAATTACTTCGTATATCTAGACTATCAAATGTTAGCTATTCTCCCATTGAACTCGAGCAAGCGAGATAGACACTCACTTCCTCGCGTTCCAGCCCGCCTTGAATCTGACCATCCTTATCCAATTGCGCACGAGGCCCATGAATTTCCAAAACATTTCCCATATCTGCAAAGTTCATGTCCATCCCAAAAGTTTCCTTCAATTCCTCTTCCGATGCTCCTTGCGATTTATCTATATTCGTATAATCAATTAGCCAATTGTCCTTGAGCTGTCATTTCAGCCTCCTCATATCTACAAAAAGACTCACCGAATTCCCTATGAAACATAACAGCATCGCGATGAGCAGTCTCAATTGCTTCCTCGATTCTTCTAGCTTCTTTTACTTTTCTCTCTCCGGCTGCCTTGAATAGCTCGTGCTCCTTGGCTTTCTTGGCCTCTTTGGCAATCATATCAGCTTTCCATTCTTCGGTGCCGCGAATCCCGAGATTCTTTTCTGCTTTTACACCTGCTTTGTAACCTTCGAGATACTCTTCCGGGTGCTGGAATTCAAACAGTTTCTCTACTCTGTCCTCACGAAATGCTTGTTTGCCTGCTTCTTTGCCTTGATTGAACTGTTCCAGAACTTTGAGTGTGGGTTTGGGTGGGAGTGAAGACATTTTACTGAAGAGATAGAGCTGGTGAGGATACTTGTAATTCGACACAACTGTTGCTTTGGGAAGGATTGTTTGTCTGCTAAAATAAAATGAGAAGAACGTTAAAAAGATTGAGTGTGGTGATGGTATTTGATCGAACATGGAGAAAACATCTGCGAATCCTTTGAAGTGAAAGATAAATTCATGTTGCGATAGCGGAGGAGTGAATAGCTCGCGGTATAGCAAAGCGCGTATCTTTGAGTTCGTTTCAACTGCGATGTTCGAAATTCACTACAGCATTAACCACAAGCCTCAGAACGCGGAGAGAATCAGGAAAGGGAGCCTCGTGCGGAATTCGGTGCTTGAATAAGTAAACGGCTGGCTACCTAGATTCTGTTGATCGGGTTATTCCAGTGGATTGAGGTTATTTCAAAGAATAATGTATGCACATAGATAACAAATGATAAGTCCAAATGACTGCTCAACAATAACTCAACTGCTTGTACGCGCCCCTTGACAAATGGCCTCCAACTTCGACACTCGTCTAAAACATGAGCACATAAGAAATCAAAGTCGAAAAAAAAACTTTATCTGGCAGTATTCCATCAGCCCTTGATGATCATTGACACACGTTAGTGAGATATATCACAATCTATAGTACACTACACTTTGACTCAAAGCTGATTCAACAGCTTCCCAACAAAGTTCTTCAAATCCTCAACCCTGACATCCTCCTTAACATTCAATCGTCTACACTGGACCTCACATAGACCTTCCTTCCACTTCCTACCCAGCAAAACAATGACCGGATAACCAATCAAATCGGCATCCTTCATTTTCCAGCCAATCGACACCTCTCGATCATCAACCACTGGATCCATTGCAGCAGCAGAAAGAGTATCAGATATCTGCAATGCATCTTCCTTCAATCCCTTTCCAGGGACCACAACGATTTCGAAAGGAGCCATAACTCTCGGCCAATTCAAACCCTTTTCGTCAGCTAGGGTTTCTGCAACGGCTCCAATCATTCTCGTTACACCAATACCATGGCATCCCATTTCCATAGGAACCCGTATCTGATCATTTCCTCCTTGCTGAGTTTCATTCTCTTCAGCTTCGAGATTTTTCTCCACAAGGCCAGAAGGTACAGTAACAGTTGCTTCCATCGGTTTACTATATCGTGTACCTAAGTGGAAAGTATGTCCGAGTTCAATGGCCTTTTCGACTTTCAACGTTGATTCTTGACATTTGGGGCAAACATCGCCCTCCGTAATGCGCTTCAAATTTAGCGGTTGCCCCGTAGATGGATCCTGCGCGAAAGACGAATTCTTGTAATTATTCAAAGACGAATCAAAGTGCACTTCTCGTTCCCTTGAAATTGCTTCTGAAAGTTCAAGAGGGACTCGTCCATCAATAAGATTAATCACATGAGTGATATGGATTTCATCTGCTTCATTGAGACATGTATTCGTGAGTATAAAATCCTCATTGATGAGTCGCGACAATTCCACATGTCCTATTTTTCTCGAAGGGTCATAGTCCGGTACAAGTCTTTTGATCGAACTTGTGTTTAAATCGTACTCTTCTCCGGTTTCAGAATAAAACCAAGTGACAATGAGGGTAGATCCATCACGAGAGAACCCACCAACCTTCTTCAGGTTTTTAAACTCGTTCTTCAAACTCTCGGCCTCATTCAATTTTGGCAACCCACTTTCTGCTAACTCCTCATTTGCCACATAATTGCATTTACTGCAACTGATGATATTGTCTTCCCCAATCTTAGTTGGAAAGTGAAACTCATGACTGAGGTCACCACCTATGTCTCCTGAATCGGCTTCGGCTACAAGATATGGAATTTTTAGTTCATCGAAAAGATTATGATATGCTCTGCGAACATTTTCGTAAGTTGATAGAGCAGAAGTGTTATTGTAATCAAACGTATAAAGATCTTTCATGACAAATTCTCGAGAACGGAGAAGTCCTTGCCTTGGTCGTAGCTCATCACGATACTTTCGAGCTGGATATGGATGAGCAAAGAACAGAAAGAATGACAGGTCTGAACACACTTATCTGGTATAGACGAACAGGAAGTTCTTTGTATGATTGGACCGAGTTTGAAACTAATTCCGTGATTTCTTCCTCGTGTGTAGGAGCAAGAAGATACCTCGCCTCCTTTCGGTCTTCCAATCGGAAGAGCTGATAGTGTTACAACCATGACAATGGAATCATTTGATGGGAAATACCTCAGAACTAGAATTCAATCGACCACTTTTAGCCCAAAGCTCTTCAGACGACAGAGACGACAAAGCAAGTTTCGAAGCGCCTTTCATAAGACATTAATGTTAGCATGAATGGCGAAAACAATCTGGGGGAACAGGATTGCTAACCTAACGTTGACATATGCTTATCAATGAGTGCTTCTAATTTGTCCTGTACTCTTCTTCCTAGCGGTAACATATGAAAGATACCTGTGTGAGCCTAGCCATGCTGTGTGAGAGCATGCCCTTATGAGCGAAAAGGAATGACTTGACAACGCACCTGACGTAAAAACCCCCCTCGAATAAGTTTAGCATGAGAATCTATCCCGAATCAGTCTTCCCAAGTTCGATGAACATATCTAGTTTGAATTTTACCTTCATCTGCGCTTGCAGCTATACCACCAGTAGGTATCCAGAACTTGGATAATCTTGCCCTATCATTATTCTACCACATCAATTAATCAATGATATACCCACGTGATTAAAGGGTATCTTCATGATGAATTAGAACCTACAATTGTAGAAAGATTTGATTGCGTTTGAGAATATGAAAGCCTAAGAGGCCGCGATAAGATCGCTGCACGGCGACACAAGCCCCAAGTGTTTGTTGCAGATCCTCCAAACCGCGAAATGCTTCGGAGGGAATGCATCTTGGTGTACTTCCCGGTGCTGCGTCCTACGTTCAGAACAAACAAGTTTGAATGAACTATTGGGATGGGAAAAGGGCAGAAAGTCTATATTTTCATTCTTATCATATATATCTTTCGGGTAGCCTTTTTGTCCACATCGGCCATTATATTATCAAGCCAATGAAAAGTTCCAACTTACAACAATATTGGAGGATGAAGCTTTCCTAGCATCGGAAAATCTTTGTCCCGTCAGTCATTGGCAGAATAAAAGGCGGTGAAATAAACTTTTTTTCCAATCAAGAACTTCTAAGAATGTCGCAACTTTGATCAGAAATAATTTGAACACCCCTCGATATTCTCACCACCATTATTTCAATTGAATTACTTTGATTGTACAAAATGGTGTCAAATAACAAAAAGCGAAAGCGCGACACCAATAAGGAGGATCAAGATCGTCTGGTTAATAAAGCGCCAAAATCAGGAGGAAATGAAAAAGAAGTTTTGTTACAAGAAATATTGGCATTGGGAGGAACAGAGGAAGACTTAGACCTTGTACTCGATGCACAATCTGATTCCGAGAATGAAGCAAAACCAACAACTAAATCCACAGGTCAGGACTTCAAAAATGAGTTTGCCAAATTTGTAGCAGGTCTTGGAATTGAAGGACAAGCTCCAGAAGCAGAAGCAGATGAGGAGGATGAGGAGGTAGATGATGATGATTGGCGGGACGAGGCCTTGCAGTCAGAATCAGAATCCAGTGAACCGGAAGAGGCGCCAAAAGTTCAAGAGAAAAGTGCGACCAAAGTCAAAGAATCTTCAAAGACTCCCAAAGTGGCAGAGAAACCCGTGGCCATTCAAGTCAAAGAATCTACGAAGGATCAAAACCGCCTGGTTTGTAGCTCCTTACCTTCATTTTGAGTCCACTGACCGATTATAGAATTTTGAAGCGCGACCAGACTGGCATGCAGCAGAACTCACCGTCCTTCCGGCGGGAGACTTCAGCGAAACAGGACCATACCGATCGTCAATCAATAACTTAAACGAATATGCCAAAGCTCTTCTTGAAGCCGACAGTACTTTATATGCCTCGAAACATCTTTCTGCGACTTCTTCACATCGTTTCCTGGCTACTATTATGTCCTCCGGTACATTGTCCGATAAAATTTCCGCTTTAACTTTGGTTGTTCAAGAATCCCCAGTCCATACTACAAGGTCGTTCGAAAGTTTATTGGATCTGGCAAAGAAAAGAAGTAGAGGACAAGCCGTTACAGCATTGGGAGCTATGAAGGATTTGCTCGGAGCTGGTGTCGTACTTCCTGCGGATAGACGTCTTCGTACATTTGCTTCACAGCCTGGACTTCTCGGTACATTGCAAGAAAGCGATACTGGTGTTTGGAAATCCGGACAACCCCTACCAGGAAACATGACCAAAGCACATCTCATTTCATGGGCATATGAAGATTGGCTCAAGGAGTCATATTTTGATATGCTCAAGATTCTGGAAGTTTGGTGTAGCGACGAGGTAGAATATGCTCGTTCAAGAGCTGTTATGTATGTCTACGAACTATTAAAGGATAAGCCAGAACAAGAATCAAATTTACTTCGACTCTTAGTCAACAAACTTGGAGATCCAGATAAAAAGATTGCTTCACGGTCATCATATCTCCTGATGCAACTTCAAACCTCTCATCCTGCGATGAAAGAGATCATTATCAACTCAATCGAGAACGAACTTATATTGAGACCTGGACAGAGTTCGCACGCTAAATATTACGCCATTAATACTCTCAATCAAACTATTCTCAGTTCGAAGGAGGAAGTTGTTGCGAAGAAGCTTTTGAGCATATACTTTGGCCTTTTCGTATCTCTTCTTAAAAAGCCCGAAGTTATCAAACCTACAGGTCCTAAACTCAATAAGAAAGGAGAGATCCAAGGAGGTGGAGGCGCTATGGGAAAGAAGGCAAAGGAAAAGCTGACAGCAGAAGAGGAAGCGAAGCAGGCAAGTGAGGAGACAACAGAGAAGATGATCTCTGCTGTTCTGACCGGTGTCAATCGTGCATTCCCATTCACAAAGACTGATGATTTAACGTAAGTTTAAAGAACTACATTGGCCGAGGACAATACTGACTAGATTAGCCTTGAGAAACATATGGATACTTTGTTCCGAATTACGCATTCATCCAACTTCAATACCAGTATTCAAGCTTTGATGTTGATTGAGCAACTATCAACAACAAAGCACCTCGCTGTCGACAGGTTCTACAGAACTCTCTACGAATCTTTGCTCGATCCTCGTCTAATCACTTCTTCGAAACATGCACTGTACCTAAATTTACTCTATCGGGCTTTGAAATCAGATGTCAATATCAAGCGTGTGAAGGCTTTTGCGAAGAGAATGTTACAAGTTGTCACTCTTCATCAACCTCCATTCATTTGTGGTATCATCTACTTGTTAAGAGAGTTAGAAGTCACATTCCCTGGACTTAAAACTCTACTCAATACTCCTGAAGCAAATGACGAAGAGGAAGAAGAGCTATATCGAGATGTGCCAGAAGATGGAGAAACTGCAGGTATTCAAGCTACAACAGCCCCATCGAAACCCAGAACAGACACATATGATGGAAAGAAGAGAGATCCGGAACATAGCAATGCTGACAAGAGTTGTTTATGGGAAATTGTGAGTTACGTTTCAATGAATGAGGGAGCTTTACTAATAATATCAGATTCCTTTCTTGAGACATTTCCATCCATCTGTATCTCTATTTGTCGACCGCCTTATTAATGACGAAAAAATGCCACCAAAACCTGATCTTGCTTCTCACACCTTAACCCATTTCTTAGATCGTTTTGTCTACAGAAACGCAAAAGCAGCAGCTGGAGCACCAAAGGGAAGCTCCCTTATGCAACCTCTTGCTGGTGGGGCAAGTCAAGGTATCCTTGTATCCAATCGTGGTACTAAGGTCCAACAATCTGTCAACTCGGAAGCATTCTGGAGAAAGAAGGCAGAGGATGTTGCAGTTGATGAAGTCTTCTTCCACAAATACTTTAACCAAATTGGTAAGGGTAAGGATGCATCTAAGAAGAAGGAGAAGAAGAAGGGTGAAGATGGAGAAGATGATGAGGATGAAGATGAGGATGAAATTTGGCAAGCTTTGGTTGAAAGTAAGCCAGATATCGAGGGTCCAGAGTCTGACGATGATGATTTGGATATGGATGACTTTGACATGTCCGAGGATGATTCTGAAGGTGGTGTTGATATTGAGGGATCGGATGAAGAAGTCGACGTCGAAGGAGAAGATGAGGATATGCAAGATGCTGAGGAAGATGATGGAGAGGGTATTTTCTCAGAAGAAGAAGATGACCTCAAGGACAGTGATGATGAAGCAGGATCAGATATGGATGCATTGTTCGAAGCTGAATTACAGAGAGCGAAGAGTCCCGAAGCGGAAGAAGAGAAGAAAGAGACTAGCAGAAGTAAGAAGAGGAGACTTAAGAATCTTCCAACATTCGCCAGTGCAGACGATTATGCGGCAATGCTGGACAAAGATGACGGAGATGAGGATATGGGTATGGGAAATGGAAAGGGAAGATAGAGTAGTAATATTAGAGATGGGGACAAGGAAAATACTCGCACACAATTGTGATGGGTGTTTTGTGAAATGTTTGAAGGTAGTCAATATGAATATCTCGAAATAAATTCAAGAAGTTATACCCATTTCAAATCACAAGTTCAGGATGTATATTAATTGATTGGAATATCCTGATTTCAGATACCATTGCTAATTTCCCAGTTCATGTGCAGTGATTGCCTATCGTCAAACCAGAATCATCAATAACCCCTGCACTGAAGATCTATTCATCAAACCACTTCAACTCATCCTCCTCCCCAAATATTGCTCTGAAAAACTTTCCCTCCTCACCTCCAACATCCGTTTCTTCCATGTGTATACAATGAAGAGTAGCGGTGTCGGAGTCTCCTGGAATGAAAGCTCTGAACATGAAATATTTATCTTCGGTCTCAGGAATGAGGACTTTGCCGAGAAGGTGGAGTCCATAGGCACTAGTGGCTACGCGGACGGAGGTGAGGGAAGAGGAGGTGAAGGAGGTAAGGGTGTGATCTGGGAGGTGGGAGATGGGAGCGAAGTATTGGGGCTCGTGTTCTGTTGGGGGGTGGATTAGTAATGGGGTTGGGGAAGAGTATAGGAAGAGAGGACAGGAGAAAAGAAGAGAGACAAACTATTGGTTTCATGGCGGAGATGTTGAATTTTCTTCTTGAGTTCTGTTTCAATTTTCTTGAAGGCAACGATGCTATCTTCTTTTGGGGCATGGATATCGCCAAGTTGGACAGTCTCTGCGGTTGCCATGATGAACGTACGGATATTGTTGTCTGACTTGATGTTTTTGGATTTGTGGTCGAGGAAGTGCTCGTGCAAGATGCAGAAGATACTTAAGGGTTGGAGTACAAATCAGGTATATTCAATATTGCAAGGTTGAGGTGAATATGTTCAGATGGAGAGGTCAGTTCATGGTGGATGTTCTTGCCTTATAAGTGAATGAGTTGAGGTCAAACAGGGGTAGCTGTAACTGCATAAAATGAGGGGCTGTTGATCATTAGGTATGCTCTGCATCACTTAAAAACAGGTGTTGACTTTTGATTTCCTTGGCTATAATTTTCTATGGCTGTCAATGTCCCAATACCCAATACACGTGATGATGATTATTGAGTGATAAAAGTACGGATACAGAGCAGTTTGAAGCGATTAATGTCTAGAACTTCCAGAAGATGACGTCGTTGTTCGGTGGTTTAATGAATAAAGATGTGGAAAGTTTCTACCATGATATCCGTTCACATTCATGATATCGAAGTTGCTAACTATGACCCCTGGTTTAGGCCTTTGTATAAGAGCATCGATCCATACTAAAGCAGGTACAAAATGTATCAATACGTACCTAAGATGCTAGTCTAGTCTAGTTTGTTTAGCTGGCGAGGCCTAGCTGATCTCATGGGATAAGATAAGATAAGATCTCGGCAGAACACATCGCCGACTTTTTATGGGACAGCAGGGAAGTCATTATCCTCGGCTTGCTTTCTCCATCAATTGCGATAGTTATCAGAAAATACACCGCGCACGAATTGTTTTATTAGTTGGCGTTTAGTGTAATAAGTTTTACCATAGATTTGCCCTTTTCTCTTATATATCAGCATGCAAAGATCGTAGCTTGAAAATAGCACAATCTGAAATGTCTTTCTCTCGTCAAATTTTACAGCCTCGAGCTGGTATATACAGAGCTGCAACTCGCAGTTCAGGACTTGTACAATGTCGTAGAACAGCGTTAAGGAGCTCATCTCCTTTGAATTCTTCTCGAGCATTTACCGCAGCTCGTCGATTATGCAATGCTGAAAGTGAGTTCTTCCCAATACCCCTCTCCGAGCTCTAGCTAACCTCACAAAGCTACTATTCCCCCGCTCCCACCTCCACAACCCTCATTACTCTTACGAACTCTCACTTTCTTTGGAATCGCTATTGTCTTCACATCTGTAGGCTTCTCAATAGCTGCATATCCAGCCTTCAAAGCCGCCAATGCCATACTTGATCCCCCATCTGATGAGGAGTCTCTCAAATTATACTCACCAACCGATGCGAAATCTATAGAAGTCGAAGCCTATATAAATAATCATCCAATTGTGAAGGAGCTACGAAGCCGACCCGAATTCACAGAATCAAGGCCACATATGAAAATCCCAGAATCACAGCGAGGACACAATCTTACAGGTGGAACATTGATGGGCCCGGGACGTGTTCAAGTACCACCATATGTATGGACTGAAGCAGGCGGGAAGTCTCTTGTATCAATCTCATACCTAGGAGAAGATCTTTGTGGACATCCGAAGATCATACATGGAGGATTTCTAGCCACTATGTTAGACGAGGGACTAGCACGATGTTGTTTTGGTGCATTACCGAATAAGATTGGTATGACGGCTACTTTGACAGTCAATTATAAAGCTCCAACACCAGCGGGAACCTTTGTAGTGTTGAGGGCGGAGACTACGAAAGTTGAGGGCAGAAAGGCTTGGGTTGAAGGAAGAATTGAGACTTTAGTTGGGGAAGGAGAGAAACCAAAAGTCTTGTGTGAGGCAAATGCATTGTTTATTGAACCCAGACAGGCTAAGGTAAGTTTTACAGCTAAGATGATTTAATGATTGATGCTAATTGACTATCAGATGATGGCTAGAATATACCCGGTCTCATAGAATGTTATAGAGGACGTCTCCTTCGTCGAAGGTCGGAGGGGACCAACTTTATCAAGTACAGAGAAAGAATGCGCATTCAGTGTTCTAGACGTGTATATGATTAGACAAGAAGCGCGAGGTCTAGATTTTACTTGTAGATTTACCTAGCAACCTTGCTTATACAGAAAGATATTAGACTCATGGCCTTATTTTATATCAGTACTAACTTCCGATCTCCAAACTTCCATATCTTGCACGAAACTGTTTATCTCCCCAGCGTCTAGCCATATCAGCATGTAACAAATGCAGGAGATAAATTACTGAAAGATGCTCGCAAAACAATTCTCACGTGATCCTGAATTCCCCACCATTCAGAAACACATATTACGCGTTTGCCAACTTTATGTGTAGTGCGGGGCAGATTTTTATAGTGCATCAGTAGCGGGTTAATAAGGGGAGACATTCGGCTTGTTAACGACGGCAGTCCATTGAATTTCGATTGCGTGATTGCGTGATTGCTCTCTCTTTATTTGTTTAATAGTCACAACTTTTTCCAAAAAAAAAAAAGTACTCTCAATTTTCTCATACAAATCTTCAAAATGTCTACGTGTGTTCTCCCTGTTTGCGCTTAATCTTTTAATTATATCCTTACCCTGAGTTTCAATGGGAAGCAGAATTAACCAAAGATAAATAATACTAACCCCCCTCAGAAATATCACTTGGCACCCCTCCCTCACCCGCGCTGAGCGCACCACCCTCCGCAAACAACGCGGCTTCACAATCTGGTTCACCGGGCTTTCTGCCTCTGGAAAATCCACCATTGCCACAGCTCTCGAGCAACATCTTCTCCATCTCGGACATGCCGCATATCGTCTCGACGGCGACAATGTCCGCTTTGGACTCAACAAAGATCTCGGATTCGACGAGAAGTCCCGCAACGAGAACATTCGTCGTATTGCCGAAGTCGCAAAGTTGTTCGCAGATAGTTGTACCATCGCTTTAACATCGTTTATCTCCCCTTACAAGGCAGATCGAGCTGTTGCGAGGGAATTGCATGAAAAGGCCGCCAATGGGGATGACGCTATTCCTTTCATTGAGGTTTTCATCGATATTCCTGTTGAGGAGGCAGAGAAGAGAGATCCAAAGGGATTGTACAAGAAGGCTAGAGCGGGTGAGATTAAGGATTTCACTGGTATCAGTGCGCCATATGAGGAGCCCGAGAAGGCAGAGATTCATTTAAGGACGGATAAGCTGAGTGTGGAGGAGTGTGTGCAGAAGATTGTGGAATATTTGGAGAAGGAGAAGTTGTTGAAATTGTAGATTTAGATACCTTGGGAGAGACATTTCGAGCGATTGAAAAGGATTATTTCATCAAAAATGCTAGACATTATAGAACTCAATGAATAAAACATTGATCGATCTGAAAACAATTGCTTTGTTGATATCTCTTACTACGATACAATAATACAAATGCATGCTTCAACAAATATGTCCCCGTTGCCATGCGCCAACTTTCAATCGCCATATTCTCATAATCCCTCCAATACTATCTATATGATTTCGAATTCGTAATAGACATAGGCCGTATACTCGTTGCCTTCTCCTCCACCAACGCCCGCTGCAGCTATTTCGGACGATAATGCCGAATCATCTTTCAAAGCCTTTCCTTTCTTGTCTCGACCGAAGGCATTACCTCCGAGGTACCCATATGTCGAATCGAGTGCCGCTTTCGCTTTCTTGGCTCCTTTGGGGTTTGACTGGAAAGAATTAGTAAAACTTGACAAAACTTGGGCTCAATGGGCATACCTTGACCAAACCACAGACGAAATCCAGGGGTAATCCATATCTCAGGACTGTCTCAACAAATACTCTCAAAGTTAAGACATGGATCCATATCATAACAGCTTCACTCCAACCAGTTCTACCAAGTCTTAGAGCTTCACCCCATACCTTGCGCTCATCCTTCTCTACTTTCTCGGCCTCTTTTCTTTCCACCTCCTTTCCACCCTCTACGTATTTGTAATCACGAGGTGTCCATTTATTCTCTCTACATTTGTGTTGGAAATCTGCGCTGTGCTTTTTGAATGTTGTGACCGCAAATAATGTGAACTCATCGTCATGGGTCACTTCCACGGAGGATCTTGGGACAACCATGGGCGATATGGTTTCATAAGTCTTGAAGAAATCCTTCTTGACGTTGGTTGGAACCACGACAAGGTGAGTTTCGAGGTATTCAGAATCTTGTACCAGTAATTTGGGATCGACGACTGGAGTAAGTGATTTCGTAGAAAGATTTCCCCTTCGCATAGTTAGCCTTTTGCCTTATTCTTATATGTCGAGCTCTTACGTTTGTTTCCGTTGTAAAGTTGTAAGATTCGTCTTGACTTGGTTATATTGGTTCATTTTGCCCTTAACATCATTATCGATACTAACGAGTTCCTATATCTCATCAGCAATGCTTCAACTCTCCTTGTAAAACAAGACCAACCTTTTGTAACGAATCGATTAACTCAGCGAGTGGTTTGTCGGCACGATATTTGACTTTGTTCCATGAGAAAGTACGTAGGTATTGATCCGCGGGTTCTATAATCAAACTATTAGCCCATGATCGTAATCACAAGCTCGCAAATCATCAGACTCACTGTCATTCACAGTCTTCTGTTGTTCAATCTTGCTCTCATCTCCTTCCAATAAATTGCGAAGAGATTCCCCAACTTTTGCTACAACACCTTGACAAGCGCTTTCCAACTTCGCGAGATCATCTGCTTGCCCAACCAATGCATCTAGTGTACCGATTTTGAATTCAGGGATCTTGAATGGTATCGTAGTTCCATTATCGGGGGAGATTGTGGACCGGAGAGCTGTTAAAGCTTCTTCTTTGTCGCTGGATTGAGAGATCGACGTTGGTAAAGATACCAATATGTATTTCGTAGGAACAGACATGGTTGGAACTTCCGAGGGATTGCTACTCGATAGAAGTGGTAGGTGGTATTGGAGAGAATGGGATCCAGAGAAACCCAGTTGCGCTCCAGTTGAATAACACGAATGTATTACCTCGTCGTCGTGGAGTTTCTTGGATTGTTGTAAGTTGCTCTTCATTCTAGGGATTTGGGAGCTTCGAGCTTGCTGTGAGATTGAGGAAGGGCCGTGCACGATAAACTAGGGAGCTGCGGACAACCTCATTCCCATCTCACCACCAAGACCACATGCTTCACTCACCAAAAGTTACTCGCTGGGAATGTTTGATTTAAACACTTTTGGCTGATGTACTTGATGGAACAAATCATTTTTATATCTGCGCTTCATGTAGCCATGTGTCTGAATGTTCTCAATGAATTTTAAAATTCACTTCCTTCCCAAACCTCCTCCTGTTTTCACTTCTCAAGTAGTATGCTTCGAGATAATGCAGTCACGCAAACAAAGCGAATGGCCACGGAGCGAATTATCTGGAGAATCTCCTAAGACATCTTTTGTACCATAGCTACTTCAAAATTTATGACATTTACCGGCTGTTTTTTTCCAAAAATGCTATAAAAGTTAAGTAACTTGCCCTTCACATGAAATTCGAGATCTCACAATGATGAAGAGAAGTATTCTTCTAGAATAATTGTACATCAATCGTTCTTTGACGACTCATTTTCCCCCTTTGCTATGCTGGTAGCCTGCAGAGAGCTCGATGGTAACTCGGATTTGAGCTCAAAAAATGTGGCCTTCTGCATTGATGTGCCTACTCCAGGACAATTTCAAATGATCGAGACTTCTAGATCGTGGCTACTAAGTTCTTGTGGCTTTTCTTTTGCATTGTTGAATAGAAGAATGTCTAAACTTTTAGCCAAACCATGGATGTTCATGAAGCATGATGGTTGTATTGAATTCTTGTCCTGCGTTTTTTCCCCATACACTTCATCATACTTTCGATACTGATGGTTCGACATGATAAAAGTGGATCAGAACAGCAGTAAAGGATGTAGTTCATCAACCCTTTGTTACCCAGCATGCAGTGGGACCTAGATTCCCTTAGATCATTCGAGCTTTCATAGCTACCTGTCACCATTGTTAGTCGAATAGCATTGTGCGATTAAGGGTTAGCCCCTTACAATGTGCAGTGTGTGATAAGATGTGCTCTCCATTTATTCTTCAAGTGCTTCCTCATTTGCGAATGATGATTCAAAGATCCCCTATCCATTCATCTTTCACATCGGGCGTATCGAACTGGAAAGTTTCCGTGAGATTGCTATATTTCCAATAATGCATCGTTAAGATCATCGAAAGCATACCAAAGTTCCGCGCATGAGGGCGAGTATACCACACGTTTGCTTTGCTCCGCATTGTCGCTGTGGCTGCCAGTGCTTTGTGAATCCATTCTTGGGCATTGCGGCAGATAGAAGGGTTTTCAAATTAATATGTATCGTTAGTGAAAGGTTCCACAGGCTCGCTAGATAGTGTTGACAATATAGTAACTATGATTGATAGGGCTGCGAAAAGAAATGGACAAACGCCACTAGAGGGTGATTCATATTGCGGGTGGGGAGGGGGGGGGCAAGATGATAATCCACTGTCGCGAGAATTAGCTTCACCTGTCTAAAGAGCAAACACAGCTTGAAGAACAGGTCGGTCATTTCGTTGTTGTCGTTGCTCGATGGGAATAGGAATAGGAATGGCTATCAATGTACTCCTCATCTTGAAGTGACTTGCGCTGTTGTCGGGGCTTTTTCAATAGATGCTGGCTACTTGACGAAAGGACATAGATATCAAATACATAAGATAAGGAGGATCACATTCGGAGTAGCTGAGCCGTTGAGAAATGTTTAGTTCAAGTCAACCTATACAACAGCCATCTCGAATTCCAAAGTCAATCTAGAGTAAAACTGTATGGCTATCTTGAAGTCCAGTGGAATAGTTTATGCTGTACACTATATATTGTTTCACCGTAATGCCATTGGGGATGTTAAAGTTCAAACATGGAACGGTAGTGTTCAACATGAAACTAGATAGGGCTGACCATTCCTCGAAACTTGTGAGATTCAATGTACCCGGTAGCCTTGGAGCCAGACTAGATATACACAGCGTGTATGTATCATCGACTTCATGTCCATATGCCATCGATCAACTGGCTGAACCAATGCTGTATTACGAGGACCGCACTGAACATCTTTAGTTTTCATGGAATAGCTACGGCAGCATTTCTTTTATGGCGGCCATTTGTGCCATTCAACCGTAAACAGTCAGTACGGTATAGTATCAAGTCTATACATTTTAGCGTCTTTGGAGACTTGGAACGGTTGCTCTATCCTACTACTTAAGTATTCTTCTGCTCCATCCTAATCCCCTTTAACTTTGTCTTGACACAGTACTTTACAAAAGCAAAGTAATCACAGAGCAATCACAACTGCAACTTTCACACAGTTCCATTTCCCAATACAAATAATATCTTGAATCGATTATCGACTTCCCATTTACAACTCAATCTTCTTCTAGTATCATCTAATTGCCGGTATCTTCCCATCACATACATTTGCACGGAATATCCACCACTTTACCACACATCAATTCAACCTTGCACATTGTGCTTACCACAACCATGGGTTTCAGAAAAGTCTTTCGCTCGGTCGCTCACGTTTTCTCCATCAAGGACAAGAAGGTTGCGAACCAGCAAAACACCAAGAAGCCTAGGAAGCTCACCAAGAGCCGATATCCTAGCAAGACTACCAATTCCACCAAGAATAGAGTCAAGAATCTCGTTGACTTATTTACCGGTAGCAGATCTGGAAGACATTCCACTGGTAAGCAGATACTTGAAATTCAAGCATCCATGATACCAGATACTAACATTAACTTACCAGAATCAGCACCCAAACCAGAAACACTTGTTGGTTCCTCAAATCCTTCCTCAACAGGAAATCACACAGTCGAGACATTTGAGCAAGTCCCAGATCATGCTGGCTCAGAGAATGCGAATAGCCATCACATCGACGATGGAATTACAGGCGCTTCATCTGCACAGAATGTCTTGCCAGTGTTGATGGCGGTTGTTGGTGGCAACCAGTTCATGGAGGACGTGGAAGTTGCAAATGTTGCTGCGCTTCCATTGGAACCACCCACTCCTGCAATCAAGTCGGTTCTTGACGGCGACTTGAATGATATCAATGATCAATCAGTTGAGGTAGTAGAAGCTGCTGGTCCTGCTATCGTTGTCAATAATGATTTTGTTGATAGCCAAGGTAAGCCACTCAGAATTTACATACCATGTGAGAAGACAAATACTGATGTTCAATTTCCCAATACAGATCCAACAGTTGAAATTTTGATTAATGGGGCAGATTCCGTGGAGCTTGCTGCTTCCATATTCAATGAAAACAAGGAGGATAATACTTTGACCATGGTAACAACTGAATTGTCTATCGATGTTCCAGAAATTTTCCATTTGGCCTTTGCACCATTGGCTACACCAGATGAAGATGATAATTTACAGGTGGTAGCAGAAGTATCCGAAGAAGAAGTAACCGAACCAATCGGAAGCGATATCTCAACTCCTGCTTCGATTCAAATCCCCTCGGCTGAGCTTTCACAGATTTTTGAAGCCGAATTACAATCATCTGAGGAATCCATCAGCAGCATCGATGGTTCTGCCATCCAGGATGAATCAATCACTTCAAATGAGGAAATTGTCTTAGTCTCGGAGGAAAATCGTGTTACGTTCCCAAACCATATTGATGGGTACCATTTGAGTGGTTTGTTCGCTGAAGATACCACAATTCCATACAGGGCACGCAGCTTCTGTGGTAGGTTTTTCACTACTCCTCAGCCAGATGAACTAGCATTGAACGGGGATGAAGATACTGAAGATGTGGTCCGTCAACCACTCAATTCAGCACCTGGAAACCTAGTTTCGCCGGACTCGCATTATCCAACGGGGAGACGTGCCAGTCTAACACCTTCTGATGCGGAGAATGAGGCAATGTTCAATGATCCTAACAATTACATTTATCATGATGAATCTGACATGTACATTGAGCCTAAACTCAATATATATCCCTCTGTTTTTGCGGAGCCTGCCGTTCCGATGGTTGCTGCACCAATCGGTTTCCCTGCGGAAAACGTTTCTCTTCAAACTTCGACACCAAAGATCATTTACGCTCATGTTGATGGTCCAGCCCCTCCGGGCTCTGTATCTAGACCACTGTCGCCAAGCGAACCAGACTCAGTGGAACAAGGACTCTTCATGTTGGAGCTTAAGGGGCAGTTGTCGTTGGAGCTTGCGAAGCAAGAAATCTTTCTATCAGAGCTTCGAAGCACTTTCCCTGTCGAGGAGAATAGTTCTGATGTAGTCGATGAACAAGCTGAGGAGGTTATTATACCTCAGAAAGTCCACCAACCGGGTGAAACTCACGCAGAAGAAATTGTGCGCATGTACCGAATTCCACGCTACAGTCAATTCAGATCAGTCTTTCCTCTTCCTGGTTTCACCATTCCTTGGGGTCCCCACAACCCGATTCCAACCAGAATAGATGATTTCAGAGGTAACGACCCTTGGCTCCCAACACCATGGACCAATCCAGATGCGTACCACCAACTAAACGGCATTCAGAGGCGCTGGGTTCAGTTGGAGGTACGTTATCAGACAAGATTATTCTGGTTAGGCATGAACTTCAAAGCAGCAGTCCATCTTGAAGAAAATCCAGCGGACAAGCTGTACGCTTTCAATAATTTCTGTGGGTGGTATGGATGCCAGACCGAAAAATGTAAACATACTCCAGTCGACGGACGTCTATATTTCTTTGATCTTAATAGCTACTACATCTCGTGGAAGAATCTTCGGGATGAGCAATTGTTACTTGACAACGAACCAAGTAGCGACTATGCTGCTCATGAGCCCGAGACTGATGCAAATACTCTTGAGCAGACAGCGCTTCGTGAGCAAGAAGCCCGTGTGCAACAAGCCCAAGAACAAGAGGCTTCTCAAGTGGAACCTGCCGATGATCGTTACGCTGATCTCAATTCATCGTTACAGTTTGCTCAATCGGTAAAAGCAGCTAGAAGAGAAATGCTGAGCCTTGTGGATTCTGGGGTTGCAGTGGCGAAGGTGAACTCCGTCATCATCCAAGAGGTTCTGGCTCGCAATGAAGCTCAGCATGTGGAGTCAAGACCAACACAACTTCCAAATGCTCACTTTGGTCTCGCGATGATCAATGTACAAGCCCAACCAAAGCAATCTCGATGGGCTCAAGTGTTTGAAGCACAAGAGAAAGATAGTTGCGCCAAATCAGAGGTATCACAGGATGTATTTCCAAATACTTCTGAAAATCCTGTTCCAGTTGGAAATTTTGGTTTGAAGATGGTTGATTTCCCTGTCGAACCAAAGAAATCTCGCTTTGCAGAGTTCTTCCCCGTGCAGCCTAAATCTGAGCAAGAAACACAAGACTTGGTTGCAGAGGATACTTCTAGAAATCCTGCTCCAGAGGTTCACTCTGGTTTACAGATGATTGAGGTGTCTGTCCAACCAAGAAAGTCTCGATTTGCATCGCTCTTTGGAGCGCTCTTCGGAGCGCAAACATCGACTGAGCAAGGTATCGCTCCGGCCCTAACATTCGATAGTAAAGATTCCAAGGAAACACTCGATTCTCTCCATGGTAGCAACAGCGATAACTTGTCTACTCGTGATACCAGTGTTGAACCACCGCAGAAGTCAAACATCAATTTAGAGGCAAACGCTGTGTCGGAGATTGATGTTGCATATGAGGAAGAAGAAGGTGATCTGTATAGTGCATCACCACTAAGAGGACCATCTCTAGCTCCAACTGCGCCAAATCAGTTCATGGATGGCTCCCTTGCCTCAAGGCATCAAGGTAATTTGCAACTGTACGATGACCAGGGATCTTTGCTTGATGATCATGTCGAGAAAGTCGGTGGCTTCGTCATCGAAGATACAATGGAAGGACCCGGTGACGGTTCAGTCTTTGTTTTTGGACAAGTTGAATTCCCTATCGAACCACCTGACGAAGAATCAAGCGAGATGCTTGATGGGGAACCATGGATACTCATCGAGATTGAGGATTTCTCTAGAGATATTGAATTCGAGGAAGTCCCAGAAAGAGTCGAACTTCCAGAAGATTTCTACGAGGAAGGATGGCCACTCGATGAACGCGAAGTACATTATCTGACACAGGCCATCAGAGAGGGGTTGAAAGAAGAGCGTTTTGCAGTCATTGAGATTGTCAATGATTCTGAGTACTATGCCAATGCTCCTGATTCTGGATGGGAAGCTCCGGATGATAGTGATACCACTGAGTCCAGTTCCGATGATTCCGATGATTCTGATGATTCTGATGAAAATGGCGGCGACACCGAGACCGACACTGAATCTCGAGAGTCGGATAAAAATAGCGATCCTGCTGAAACCAAAGCCCTGGGATCAAATGGAAAAGACAATGACCTTAAGTCCAAAGTCCAGCAATTAGCCAAGATTGATGAGGGCACTGAACCCAAGTATCAATTCAGTCGCATTCCTGTCCAAGCCCAACCCGCTGTCTCTGGACTAGCTCTGGCTTTCCAAAAACCCACCGTCGCAGAGGTTGGATACCATGACAATACGCCTCTAGGTTTTACCAACAATCCAGACGCTTTTATCGACAGCGAGCCCCTTCCAATCCTGCAAAAAGAGGCAAACATGGTGCACTCTTCCAACATCATCCGACAGATTGACCTCGCGAGAGATGAGCTGATCAGCCGCTGGATGAACAATGAAGATCACTATGATCCCGATGGACCCACTTGCACATACGTCCTGAAGGAAGGAGAACAATTTGGTGAGAGGACCTGTGAGGACATGCCTCAAGTACTGGCTCTGCGGATTCAAGATGCCGAGAACAAGCTCTGGGCTAGCGGTGCAACATTTGCACAGATAGGACTTGCTGAGAAATCGAACGGTCCCAAGAGAAAAATGACCTCCGATTTGGACTTTGCTCTTCCTGGCCAACTCAACGATCGCTGGAAGCCAGAATTCGTCGCGAAGTGTGTCAAAAATCTAGACATCACAAAAGCTTCTATTTTCCTTGGTGAAAACGTGCTTTCTGATTTTGATGAGAATAAATCAACATTCTAGGCTGCCTGTTCATCATCAAAATCTTCGGCACTGTTCCTTTCGCCACAGGACAATGTCTCCTAATGGCTCTTCGGTCTCTCTTCTGCGTCTTTCTGGTGTAAACGACCACCTCTTCGCTTTCTTCTTCTTTTCTGCAGCATTCATCTATGACAAGCGGTATCTCCTTTCAGCACTTCTCATCGCATGATACTACAGTATTTGGGTTATCGGGATATCTTTGGGACGGCATTGTGGCATAGGGCATTCGGTCTGGATGGGATTGCATGATTGGCAAGGGGTTTGGGTTTGGCATTTTCTGGGATAGCATGGTATGGCATGGTGTGGAGTTTAAATAGAATTTGCATGAGAGAGAATGATGAGATATTAATATGGCATGGAGTATGGCGCGGTTTTGTTCTGGTTTGAAACGGAAACACCCATGTGTATACATAGAGTTTACAGTTTTAGGATATCTATTCCTTTTGGAGTTTTTGGTTTAATCTCCAGATACCCAGTTTTTACATAGCAACAAGCAATTCAGAAATTATGGCTCCGATTGCAACTCTTCGTGGTGATTTTGTACATTTTCTCGGGTTATGGTTATGAATTTCTTCCGAGATGTCGTAATACAACGATGATGCGATGGGATGGGTATATCCATAAGGGATATCAATAATATACCCGATTTAATAACGTATGTTCAAAAACATGACTTTTTTTGATTTAATCAATTTTTTACCGAATCTTATATTAAAAGAATTCAATTACTTTTAATTTGATTAATGTAGTTTTAAATTAAAAAAAACTTTATATAGAAATATAGATCTCAATTAATAGAATTAAGAAATAAAATATAAATAATATCGATTGAAAATTTATTAAATTAAAAGTGATTGAATGAAATTATAATTTTTTGTATAATTTTTAGGTTTTTAAATTTTCGAAATTAGATTTTTATTTTGTCACGGCGCTAACTACGTTGCCTTCATGCCTCAGGCATACACCATTAGCATGCCCTACTTCCTATAAGAGAGCCTTACCCTTCTATAGCTCTTCCACCCTTATAGTACAATATAAGTCTTTACTTGTATCTTAACAGTTTGTATTATCTCTTTAGAAGCTATTCTAGTTTCATTTCTATTCCAAATCTATCGAAGTTCTGATCTGATTGAATTAATCGGATTTATCACTATCTTATTGTATATTCTAATTATTACTGTTTTAAATCTTAATTATAATTATAACCAACTAAATATCTACATTTGGTTTATCCTTTCAGTTTCTATTTTTGAATTATATTTTCAATTCTATTGAAATTGATATCTCTTTGTTTATAGATTTGTTTAATAATTTAAGTACTATATATTTTATAGTTATTTAAACTATATTTAAATCAATCGAATTGTATACAAGTATATTCTAAATCTAAGTTATTGATATTCAGATTAAAGTTAATAAATTAAATAATATAATTAATATATTAAAAATCACTATTCGAAATAACCTACAAGTTTTGTATTATTATAAATACCTTATTGTTTCTGAAAAGTTTAGTAATAATAAATAGGATATTGTAAAATATTAAAATCAATATATTATATTTCGCAGTATTATTAATTATTATTTAATTATAAATTATAAAAACAAATCGGAATTTCAGAAAATCATATTTCTTATTAATTTGCTTTTTGGTTTTGTTTATATAAATAATCAAATATATTTCGATATAATTATTGATAACCTATATAATTCCAATCTTTAGTCTTCTAGATAATATATTATTATAAATATCTGGAATGAATTGAATAAGCAATATCAAACTCTTGATCTTTCTCATAAAGCTTCTATAAATTATAATAAGTATAGAATAAAGAAAACTCTATTTAGCAATTTTATTATCGAATTTAAATAGCTTGCTATTAAATACAGAAAGATTATTGAATAACAGATTATAGATTTTAAACTTAAGGTTTTATAAGAATTAATTGATATATTTGTTAATTACTCAAATAAACCCTTTATTATTAATATTGAGATATGGATAGTTTGGTGGTAAGATATTTATAACGATTTAAAGAAAAAAGTTTATTTTGATAATTAATAAAAAAATCAAGGTATTAATTTCAACCATAATCATTTTGATAACTAACAAAAAAACCAAAATATTAACTTCAACTATAATTAATCGAAACTTTATAATAAAAAACTGATTATTGCTATACCTCTTCTTATATCTGATTTCTCTAATAATCTTATATAATTGAATATTGCTCAATCAGATTAGTATTTTCCAATTTGTTATACTTAAAAATAATATATCAAATTCGACTTTTGTTTTTATTATAAGAAGTTAGATTATATTAAAAATAATTGCAAGAAAAAACAAGTCAATAATACAAAATATAATATTAATATTAATACAAAATATATTCCTTATACTAATCGTTTTCCTATAACCAATTAATATAAGAATTCAGGATTTTATTATAATATTATTGTTTTTTTATATTAGAATTTGTTCTTATCTATTAACCATTCCTTAACTATACTATTATACTATACCTCCCCAATCCTTTTTAGCTCTATTCGAGTATTTGATCTAGAAAATTATATCAAGAATTTTATTTATTTAGAAGAAAATAGTAATTCGATTTTTCAACTGGATATATTAAAAGATTAATCTTGATTTACAATTACAAATCAAGATCTTTTATAAAAAATTTATTTTTGTAAATTAAAAGATCTATTATATCTAAAAATCCTTTATATTTTAAATCAATGAATAATAAATCTTTTAAAATCTTGATAGAAATTTTTCTTATACTTAATATAATTATTCTGTTTATTAATCTTATAGATAATAAAACTACAAATTATAATTTTATTAATAAAAAAGTTATCTTTAAGCTTTAAATATCTATATACCCTCTTTCTTATATTTATCATCTATTTCTAGCTAATAGTAAACTTTCCAATATTTTTTTTTAATATACACTTTTGAATATATAAATCAATAATTATAAAAAAAATAGATTTATTTTATATTATTATTTTATTAATTACAGACTTTATAATTCTTGGTTTTCTATAGCTCTAATATTACAATCCTATTATTAATTGATCAATAATAATATTCAAATTTATATTTATATATTATTTAAGATATTATTACCCTACTAATATTATAACAATTATTGTTTCCGATATAGAAAATAACTAAAAGGTAACTTTATTAAAAAATAACAAAGTTATATCAAATATTCTTGAATCTTCTTTATAAAAGCTTATTCCAAAGATAATCTTTGTTTTTGATATAGTAAATGATTAAAAGATAATTTTATCAAAAAGTAATAAAGTTATATTTGATATTTCTAAATCTCTTTTATAGAAATTTATTTCAAAACTAGTTTTTATAAAAGGAATTACTAATAAAAGTTTCAAAATCATTTCATTATTATTCTGAGATTAATTTGTAATTCTTGAATTTATTATCGAAATCTTAAAAATACCTGAATTAGAAATACTCAAATTTATTTCGAGAAGTATTTTATTAACTTCAATACTTCCGGAAAAGCTTAGTGAAAAGTATAGTATTTGATAAAAATTGAATAATATTAGATACCTTACTACTACTAGTTTTACTCAGTTTTGTAAAGGTTAGGATATATATATTACAAAACTAATCTGGAATAAGCTGAATATTGTTTACGAGTTATATCAAATACTAATGGATAACCTTATCTAACTATATTGTAATATTGCGAAAAGTAATATTGAGAAATTTATAAAGAAGATTAATTGTTCAATATTATTTATAATCAATATTTAAAGCAGATTATTATTTTGATTATGTGATCTATATATAAAGTTCCTACCCTTGCTTGCTAATGAACTTCCCTCTAGACACTTCTGGAATTACAAGATCGAATTTATATTAGATAAAAAACCACTATATAATAAAGGATATCCGATATCCCTAATCGAACTCTAGATTATATATAAATAATTTGATAATAACTTGAATAAAGGATTTATTCACAAATTTTATTTCAAATTGATTACTTTATTTCTATTAATTGTAAAGCCTGGTGGAAATGTTTATATTTATCAAGATTATTGTAGATTAAACAATATTATTATCAAGAATTGATATCTCCTATTATTAATCAAAAAAACTTTTAATATTTTATATTATATGAAAATTTATATCAAATTGGATATTATTATTGTATTTAATAAATTAAGAATTACAAAAAAATATAAATGAAAAATAGCTTTTATAACTTATTTTAGCCTTTTCGAATTTTTAATAATACCTTTTAGTTTTTGTAATACTTTTACTTCATTTCAAAACTATATTAATTATATTTTTTTTAGTTTTTTAAATAGAAATTATATTATATATTTAAATAATATTTTGATTTATTCTACTAATATTATAAATTATCGAAAACAGATTTATAAAATTATATAGAGATTGATTAATATTAGTTTATAAATTGATATCGAGAAATACAAATTCGAAATTATATAAACTAAATATCTCAGATTGATTATTATATTTAATAAAATTGAAATAGATTTAGATAAAATCAAAATAATCTTTGATTGAAAGTTATTAATAAAATTAAAAGATCTTTAATGTTTTCTTAGATTTGCTAATTTCTATTAATACTTTATTTATAATTTTTCTAAAATTACAAAATTACTTAATTACTTATTGAAAAAGGAATTTATATGGTAGTGAATTATTAATTACAAAATTGCTTTTAACAATTTAAAGTAGATATTTGTTTCTACTTTAATTTTTGCTATATTCAATTATTATTATTGAATAATTATTAAAATAAATACTTTCGATTAAACTATAGAAGGAGTTATCTTTTAGTATAATAATAAAAGCCAATTATAATTAATTACTGATTTTTTATTAAAATATAATATAGTTAAATATAATTATAAAATCTATAATAAAGAATTACTAGTAATTATTAAATCTTTAAAAAAATAAAGATTCAAGT